CTCCTCCTCCCACAATGAAATACAATGTAATAAGTTGGTGAAGCTATACAGCATGCAAAGTGCCACAGACAGGAATTTTTCTGAGTAATTCTTTTTGCACGGCACGCCTTTAGTCAAGCCAAAGCTTCCCCCAACCATTGCCAAATGGCCAATGTTCAGGTTCAGTGGCAGGCTAATATCATGCCGACATTCAAAAGGACAACCCGGCCTTGTCGCATCTGTCTAAGGTCGTTGATGACATAAAGATAGAGGTGAAACGACCTAAATCATCTGACTGTGTCAGTAGCTGCTGAATCAAGGTTTTATATCATTCCATGGTTACAGAGGAAAATTACAAGCACTGGGGGAAAAAGGCTGTAGTGTTCTTGAATTGAACAAGGCCAAAGTAGAGTAAATTCAAGTTTTCATCGATTCCCACTCACTGGAAGAGATACGGAGGATGCCATCATTCTTTATTCAAGGCCAGAATTTCAAAGTACTGCCAGCCGCGTTCAAATTACTTGGCTATGACTGACAATACCATGCATGTCTATGGGAAGTGGCTGCAGCCACTTCCATTGGCACATGTGTAATTGCAAGTCGTAGCCGTTTAATTCAGACTGTGCTTAAAGGGTTCACGCATTGAAGTTTTCTTAGGAACACATTTTGTGCAACTTTTTACCCTCTTCAATGTATGAAAACTCTTTGACATCCCTTTTTAGTTAATTTTATTGAAAAGTGCACTTCTTTAAACATTTAAATTTGCCATGCTTTTCTGGACAACCGAGGGCGCTGTTGCTGTGATGTCATTTCAGGAAGACATTGTTCAGTTTAGGAGTTTTCTGTTCAAATTGTGAACCCGAAATTTGCTCATTGAAAAACATTTGTGAGAAAGGGTTGCTCATTGGCTTACTGCCATGTACTCTAATACACAACAACGAATTACCAAAGAAAGAACATTTGTGACAGCAAAAGATTCAAAATTCTAGCAACTTTTTTTGGACTGAAATAGCTGTAACATTGAGGTTTCCGCCCAAAATGACATCACAGTTTTGCTAGTGAATATGGAAATTGGCATTAGCATAAAAACCAAAAATGCACCAAAATTCCCTTTAAATGGCAAAACGAAAATTGAAAATATGGTTAAAAGGGACACAAAGGTGCATTTTCAAAGATAGAATTTTAAAAAATAACATTGCATAGGTCCTTTTAAATTAAAAGGGTTAAATACACACGTATGCAGTGGACAACCTTTCGGCAAGTTGTTGCTGACTGCTATATGTATGATTTTTTCTAGAGGGGGGCAAAACACATTTTTCCCAAAAAATTCTTGTATTTCTCGACATATTCTTGATTTATCAGTTTTAGAGGGGGGCAGGGACATTTTGCCCCCCCCCCCCCGCCATTAAATTTACACCACTATGACTTCGCGCCTCTTTTTCTTTTCTTTTTTCTCTTTTTTTTTCTTCCTTTTTTTGTGTGTTGCTTTTCCAATGGGGGGGGGGCAAGCGCCCCCCCTTGCCCCCCCCCCCTCGCGACGACGCCCATGCTTTCTGGTGCAAAAGGTGCAACCGGTTCTTCCTAATTGATCAGCTATTCATTTGCTTGAGACTGGTAACATATGGCAACTAACTCAGGACAACACTACTTTAAGAAAAGATAATAAGCGGGTTGCGTTCAATCTGCTAAATCGCTGATTGTGATGGCGTCATAGTTGAGATGTCAAGCGTTGACAGCACAATCCATCATAACATGGAATGTAAGATGTAATCAGGATTTTTATTACATGGCGAAGAATGAGGGATTATTTCAATTAGCCGGTGTGTTGGGTAAATAATAAATGAAAGGCTGGCACCATTTATAATTTCATATTTCGTTGGTCATGTCATTTTTTGCCTTCGGGCACTATACCAAGATGGATAAATTATATTTTCATTTTGTAATTTAAAAGTTGTCATTATAGGCTGGTGCTATTTATCACATTGGTTGCAGTGTAGATCATTGGCCTGTCTAGGTTAGGACACCATACAAAGATGGATGCTTTATGTGATAGATATTTTAAGTACAGAGGTTTTAAGGCCAATTTTGTTGGCCTGTGGTAACCTGACTATTGAGAGGCTGGTACAATTTAACGGCTGAAATGTATGTTAAAAACAGTGTTGTGTTCAGGGTACCATTCCAAGATGGATGATATTTGATGATCTAAAATGGAGGAGTGTAGAGAATATTTTGATTACTCTGGAGTTAAAGGGAAAATACAACATTTGCAAACATCAAAAAATAAAACTACCAAATCATTTTGAAATACCTTGCTGGACTGTTAGTGAATGACAGTGTAAAGCATCCTGTAAAATCATGGCACCTGGTATACTGTCATTTTCAAGAAAAGTTGTAATTTTGTATCAATTTCCAACGCTGGTCGGCCGACCAGCCTTGGAAAAAACTGGCTTTTTTTCAAATACTGGCCCCAATTGACCATCGCACTTGTTTGCAATCGATTACACACCTATGAACGGGTACAAGCCAGCTAGACTGGTTCCCTGACCTTACAATTCCCCAATGTATGTAAACTGGTCTGTTTCTTTTTATATGGAGTCAGGGAACCAGACTACAGGAAAATGATTTTTTTTCTTGGTTTTTATAGCATTTTCGACCCAAAACCTTTAAAAAAGTCAGTGTAACTATATGTGCTATATATTTCCAACCCCCCAATTCCATCCATTTCTGAAAATTACAGCAAAAGCAAATGATGTATATTCCCTTTAAATTAGTGAAAGGCTGGTGCAGAGAGCGATTATCTACAATGAATGTTTCGTCAGTGTCTTGTCTCGGCAATATACAGAGATGGATGCTGTGTGATAAAGATGATTGTTGGACATTTTTTCTCCGTCTTTGTTATAATTGAGATATCGATTGCGTAGATTGCTTTTACGATTCCTTTGTTCCATCCAGACTCCCCGTATTGTTACCTATCCGTCGCATCCCGCAGGCATGTCTGCGTTAAAGGTTCACTGAGCGGTTAATGGTATGCCAAGGTGATTGGTGATTGAAAATGGCAACCTCACGCAGCCGACGTTACCGTAGGGAGATGAAAGTACCTGCGTGAAAGCTATTGACACTTTGCACAGGTGAAGCCCTCCCCCCCCCCCCCCCCCCCCACCTGAGAAAATCGGAGGGATATTCTGAAAACGTGACACTGAGGCAGCAGTGGCCTTTCCCTAAGACCTGCTCCTGGCTGGAAAAGTGTCGCGACTTTCGCGATGAGTGAAATAATAACCCTGCATCAAAACACCTAAGATCATTTCGGTGTGAGGTTTCAACCTTCAGGGAAATTAATACAACTCATAATTATTTGGGTATGGTTGATTATTTTGGTCCCAAATCATGATTAGGAAATGCACCCCGATATATGATACTTTGCTTAAAAACAAACACAGGCATGTTAATCTCTTGCAAATGTTGGCGCGAGTGCCAACAAGTTTACGGTTACACAAAAACATATTTTTTTCTGGATATGAAATCTTTGAAATTTAGCGTGTTTTTAAGAAATTGCTAAAACAAAACAGATGGTTGCACCATTTTTGTGTGTGATGGTATTTTCATTTCAAATAATCCATGTCTTATCCTTAGCATGATCATTCCTTTTTTTAAGTACGAAAAAAAAGTTGCTTATTGCATGATGAACATACATTTGTAGGAATAAAAAAGAATGAATGGTGTCTCAAAATTCATATGTAGTAGTTTGAATTCATGAATCAATAAAATAACAGCATTTTGTGTTTTATCTTTTACATTATTTTTGAATGGTCATTGCAATGTTACTGCAAATAGTAAATGCACAGTACGCGTACAAGTATACTTCTAATTCAGTAAATTTCATGTACATTGTACATAAAGGCCTATGCAAGTGTTTAATATAAAACCTTTTTATGTAGCTACGAGAAATTTTGTACTTTGTTAAAATTGCCTCTTTAAATTCCTGATTAAGACCTTCTCCATGGATCTGATGAGGGATCCAGTGTTATCATCTGATGCATCTTTGATTTCTTCCCCTCTGCGATGTGAACGATTTGACGTACCATACCCAGGCAATGTGTGAGGAAACACCTACTCCCATCAATTATCACCCCTCTCCCCCCCCCCCCCCCCCCAGCCTTACTCCCAACCATGTGCTACGGCATTTAATATTTCAAAGGGTAATTCTACAGCAGTTCTACCCATCGTATTGGAATCATCTGTTTGCATATCGTTTGGCGGATTTTGATTAACGGTTTGTGTTTGAGGTGTTGCCGTTCCTTGACTGAATGGCCTGGTGATGTTTATAATTTCGTTGCGCTTGATTGTGTTATGCAAACGTGCTTAATTTGACCTTGCAATTTACAAGGGAAGGCCAGAAACCGATTAGTATTACTAGTGCATTTTAGGTAGAGATTATTAAAGTGGCAATGAATTGTGTGGACTTTAGAGTACTTATATTTTCATGTTGGCCTCTAATCCTGTATTGTAGTATTAACCAGAAAACGTGGAAATTATTTTGCCTTGAGAAATTGAACTTTTTTTTCCCCCAATTGTTCTTTCTTCTTTTTTTTCATTTTTTTTTTTTTGGTCATGGATTTTTTTGTCAGGCCAATAAAATATGAGTTTTTTTTTCAGCCAAAATAAGCTAATTGAATGGTGTTATCAGGTATCAATCGTTCAGTTGTCATAACTTGATTATGAAGCATTATATTGGAATCAAACAATCAGAAAAATACACCGGAACGGCTCCCCTATGTAAACAAGGAAGAAAAACACATATTTTTTGGATGTCCTGCAGTTGAAGACAACTAATTGTGTACATATGCTCAGCAAATAGACCTCTTGCATAGTGTCCCCCTCTGAGGACAGGTCCTTCAATATCAAAAGGGGAGCAGTGTACATGTATATAACCATTTGGTTATGAATCTTTTCAGCTTTTCATCGTTATTTGATATTTTGAAAACTGTTTAATTTGAGATTTCTTTGTTTCCTGTTCCTGATAGGACGAGCCAATAGCCCAACAGATCGAAGAAGCTATCAAGAAAGGCACGCAGCACCCCGCCATCACATCCTCCAAACCCACCAAATCCTCCACCAAGTCGTCAAAATCCTCCAAATCCTCCAAATCCAAGTCCAAATCTCGCGAGAAAGCCCGCAGCATCCAACAGAAGTCCTCGCAGACGCGTCGCTTCCAGGTCCTTTCCAGTTTCCGAGGGATCGACCTGAACGAACTGGACACCGCGTCCCAGAACCCAGCGCCCAAAAAGGCTGCTCCCGTTAAGAGGACGCCGTCAAAGTTGAAACTGTGGAACCGGATGAGGAAGTCCTCACAGACTTCGGAAACGCCTGCTGAGGATGAAGCAAAGAAACTGTTTTGTTTGTATGATGTTACGCAGGAGGACGGCGTGGCAACAACCAATGGCCAATCACAGGTAATGTTACAAACATGTTGTAAAAGTCCTTTATGGGCCGTCTACAATGTACTTCAAGCTTCTAAACAGATGATCAACTGATAAGATTTTGTATTTTTTGCGGAGCATCCATGAATAAGATAATCTTTCATTATAACTATAGATCAGGAAAATACAGGAAATTATAACCAAAAAAACTTTAGTTTAGAAGAGATGTTGGAATTGTTATCTACCTGGAAAAAAATGGGAAGGGGGATTGCAATTGGGTCTTCAAAATTGTTTCAGTCAGAGGGGAAATGGATGTCTTTTGGACCCCATTAAAGAATTAAGCTGAAGCCCATGGTCTGAGTCCTCTACAAACCTTAGGCGATATATTGTTTAACAATTTCAGTGTCTGTATAGGTTAAATTGCATAGGAGAAATGTACATTTATACATTGTTCATAAATTTGGGGTCCACATTTTGTCCTGTCCCTGTTACATCTGACATCTATTTAATTTTATAATTCGGGACACACTTCTTAATGCAGTCATCCTCCAAGAGTGATTACGAATAGCAAACTACCTACCCAACAAATGAAAAATTTGTTTGAAGCAAATCTTAAAGATAGCTAAATGGCAACTTACAAAGTATCAAGGTAACAGGGACTGGAAAAAATGTCACACTTTGGACCCTACATGTACATTGTAAATTTATAGAAATGACCCACGTGTAAACCACCGATTCTTAGTCAAAAAGGCAAAATTTGAATCAGTAACAATTCTCCAAATAGTAAATTCAAAGGCAGTTGTGATATAGTTCAAGTCACCCAATCAACTCCAGATTCTCTTGATTACCGATGAGGTACAACCACAAAGCGCAAGCTAGTCAATAGAATTATGCCTGTCCCTGGCCTCTTGGCATTTCCAGACATATTCATGTGGGTTAAAAACGGCCTAGCCCCTTACAATCAAATATGCAATGCGGACAGCCGCTGGATGTACAAGTACGGACTTGCAGACAGTAGGGAGCCTATGCGTCTAGAGGCACAAAGCAGTGCTTGATAAATTGGGGTGCACAAATGTACATTAATAAAGCTGATATACTCGTACTTATGGAATTTGCAATAATGCATTTCACAAAATAATATCAAAGACGAAGGAGTTGTTCATGTATTTTTAAAAGAAAGATATAATTTTTTTAATGGAAAAGTGAATTTATGAACATTAAACCGTTAAAATTAGAGAACCTGACGTTTCGTTCCAGACAGAATTATGCTAAGTAGCAAAATTAGTAAGCAAGAATTTAATAATAAGCAGAAAGTTGTAGATATTTTTTCTGGCTAATTCTTCAAAAATATTTCAGTTGTAGTTATCATGGCTCTTTTTTCATGTTAGGGTTCTTAAATGGGAACCTTTACTACAAGGGGCCGTCCATGAAGTATGTACGTACAAAGGGGGGTGGGGTTGGGAAGGAGGGGTGTTCGTAATCGTAATGCTTTGTGTAATGTACGTGTACATGTGTACAAAAGGATGCGTGTGCGTATAGGGGGGGTGGGAACCACTGCATATGTCATGCGTACAGGGGGAGGGGCTCTAAAAAGTCTGCATTTTGTGAGTACCTACTTTATGGCCCCAAGGTCAGTTAGAATGTTGGTAATGAAAAAAAAACAGGGTGATCGAGAATCTGTCAGTAAACAGACCCTTGGTTTTGTTTTCATTGGCCAAGTTCAGCCTTCGTCGATGATAGAAAGGTGTACTTTAGCTTTGTAAACAGTTTACCTTTGAAGAGTTTCAAAGTTTACAAGTTACTCAAAGCAATAAAGTTGGCCATTCATGTTGAATTATTGCACTGTTTTTGTTTTGGGAAGCTCTTGGTGTGTTCCACATAAATGTAGGTTGGTTTGTGATTTTAGTTCTTTCTTGCTTCTCCCCTTCAATAAGTAAACAAGTAAACAAACAAACAAACAAACAAGCATAAACAAGAGAAGTTAATCTTCTCCCTGTATACAAATGTAGACCATATATCACAGAGCAAAAAAATCTGCTGACAAACTTTATATGTGGTTGCAAGCAAAATACTAGTAAATCTCTTAACATTTTGGCTGAGTGGTGACAACATTTGCAAACATCGAAAAACGAAATGATCAAATTATCACGAAACATCTTACTGGATTGTTAGGGAATGACAGTCTAAATCATCCTGTAAAATCGTGGCTCCTGGTGTGCTGACATTCTCAAGGAAAATGGTATTTTTCCAACACTGGTCGGCCGACCTGCTCTGTTTCATCTTAAGTGGGGTCAGGGAACCAGACTACAAGAACATGATGTTTTTTCTTGGTTCCAGCATCTTCAAGCCCAAAACGTGAATCAAGTCAGTTAAACAATATTTGCTATAACATTCTAATCCCCCAAATCTATTTACTATTGAAAATTGCAGCAAGAGAAAATGTTGTACATTCCCTTTAACATGTCTTTAAGCAGTTACATGCAGGTACTTTTTCTGTCTTAAAAGTCTGTCATAGTACAGAACAACTTTCAACTTCAAGTTGAGTTCATGAATCTTCCAAGATAGGTATCATAATTTATTACGCCTTGTGTCAAATGTACAGTCATACGCCAACTTTCAGAATTCAACAGGGGACTTTTTAAAGCAATAATCAAATGTCAATCATTAATAGATTCTCAGTAAATGTCACTGTTATCATTCCAGGTTGTTTATTTACTTTGAGCTAAATATATCATTTGGGTTTTTACCAGAGTTCTGAAGGGATAAACCTTGAGATACATGTACGTGCTTGGTCGTAGTTTTAAATTTACTTTTGTGTTCCTTAATAGATAAAATAATGGCTTTCAAATACATGCATGTACATTGTTAAAAAGAGTTCAGCATTCACATTGCTGAATGTTCTCTGCTGCAACTTTAAAAAATCTAGTTCTATATAGTTGTTCATGTCACGTAACTCGAGAAAACATGTTAGGCCTGCAAATCCATTTATTGAAAAGATGTGTAGAAGTCTACTAACGTGGAAGTGCAAATTGCATTTCTGGCACGCTCTGTGTTTTTCCAGCACACTCAGTCTCTAAATTCTTATCTATAGACATTTATGAAACTATCGGTACCGTATTTTATACATTTTGTAAAATGATTTAAAAGAAAGCAAACCATTAACTATAAAACCATAAGACAAAAGTAAAATTTCACTCTTTTCATATGCAGGAGTCTCCTGAACAAAAAAAGTTACATATTTTGTTAAATTGAAAATATTTACAGGCTATTTAAACAAAGTCAGAAAAACGAGCACTTTCTTTTCGGTGAATCTACCACTTCGAGAAATATTTACATCTGAATGCAGGACAGTCTTTGAAATTCAAATTGACTCTATTACATTTAATGTTATTCATTCATTTATTTTAGTATTTTCAAATCATTTCACAGCACAATTAGGTACTAAAATCCAAACAATTAAAATTTATAATCAATACTTGTACCTTTCTTTTTCTTTTCTGATCAGGCAAAATGTAAATCACCGGACAAGAAATCCCCGCCCGCCAACCCCGACGTCATTCTCTGCAATTCCGTTCAGATGGTCCGAGAAAAACTTGTCATCGACGACAAGACGAAGGAAACGGACTACGTCTACGATCTGTACTACATCGAGGAGGGGCCCGTGGACCTGAACGGGGCCTTGTCTATGGGCGAGGCCGAGCAAGAGCTCATCATGGAGTACTTTGTGTCGCAGGAGGAGGAACTGGAAGAGACATATGAAGACGACAGCGATAGCAACGATGAAGGAAATTGGAGGAATGATTACCCCGAGGATGAACCAGATAAAAGTACAGAAACAATCTTTAAAAATTGACTAATCCCACCAACAAATTAAAGCCATTTAAATCCTACTTTTGTTTGATCAGACACACACAGTCAAAAAAAATCTTCCACTTCCCCTACCATGCATGTGTATACAGGCTAGTAAAAAAACAGTCAGATCACATTCGTCTAAACAGTGTGACTCGTCAAATTGCATCAACAGACAACAGAGGCAATGGTTGGTACAGTGGGCCAAGGGTGGATCCAGAACACAATTTTGGGGGCCAAAACAAATTTTGGTCTTCGAAAAGTGGTCCCCTAAAATTGTTGGATTCTAGATGTTCTGTGGTGCAATTTGAGGCAATTTCTGACCACTTTAACCAATTTTTTTTTTACGCAGTGCCTGCCTTTATTGCGACGTCGCTTTAAAAATCACATTGGGGTTAGGTTTTTTTATGGGGGGGGGCATGGCATTTTGGCCAATAACCAATTGTTTCGTAGCAAAACTTCACAAGACAAAATAATTTTAAATGAAAAACCTTGTTCCCCTGCAGGGCACCCTGACTTGTTTGATGAGCTGATTGATGATTACTGCTACGGGGAGGGCCAGTCCAGCGACGAGGACTTTGGCCAGTACTCGGACATCAAGAAGAAAACGGGCAAGCGAGTGCTGAATTACAACGCCTACGGTGGGAGTGATGACGATCTGGGATGTTACTCTTGAGCAGAGTACCGAGCAAGCTGCCACGATTGGTGTTAAAGTACTTTGGTTTGAATTGGTTACCATCTTAACTGGTAAACTACAGTTACACATTTTTGTCCCTAATATTTTTCCCCCATACAAAACAGGTACATGTATCTCTCAAAACAGCTTATTACCTTGCAATGTATCAAAACTTTCATAATAAAAGTAACCTCGTGATCTGAAGGGATATAATGTAGATAACTTCACTAGCAGAAGCATGCAGATGTATAGCGGATGATCAATTGCATTCTTGTGTTGGTAAAGGCGTCATCCCTGCCTACTCTACTACTAATTAGTGTTGCAGAAAATTTCAGAGCATTGTAGTGTATATGACTTCAAGCTTTGCATGGGGGATGAGATCAATTATATGGATTTGGCGGGTAACACCATGTGGAAAGAAATATCTTCTTGGAAGAAGTGTGGTTCTGAAAAGAACCGGTTGGTTGAGTGTAGAACTTGACGTTTTGGACAGTGTGCTCTGTCCGTCCTCAGGAGGGTGAGGAAGAGATTTCTTTCCACGTGGTGTTACCCGCAAACTTTGTAATTTAGCATTGTAGTGAACGCCAGCCTCCCCAGTCATATGTCCCCTGCCCCCCCAAAAAAGCAGGAAAAATCCCCAAATAGTCAAAAATAAATAGCATTAATTGCTGTACTCACAAATTCAATACCATCTGCTCAACACTTTCAAATTTCACTGAATTCATGAAATGTTCGTAGTATAAAAAAAAATTATAGTAACTATTATATCCTTCAACATCTGAAAATAACAATCATGTTCTGAATGCCAATTTGTATAACTGCGAACCTCTTACATGTACTTCTTAAATGTTCAAACGTAGAGTATCCACGTATTTTAAGCGATATATTCTGTCCACAATGAAACTTGAAGGTCTGCATGCTGAAAGTGATAAACTTTTCCAGTTGTGTTTTGTAAATAAAGATTTTGTTAACTTTTACTCAGTATACATTTCAGTCATCAAATTCTTCAAAGAAAGTTAATTTTTCTTTCTGTTCTGGGTATTTTTTTGTGGGACATTCGAAGAAATAAACATGCCAAATGTAACATTAAATACTCTTCTGTTTTTGTTGTTACAAATGATAACGACTTTTGTACACTATATCATATGACCTGTAGATACATGTAACGTGCTTAAAGCTTATCTTCTAACCTTTTTAAACAGATAGAAATTCTTAATATTACAACAGTATAATTATAAGAAGTTTAATAAAAACGGCGGCTCTACAGCAAAATAAAATATCAGACATCAGAGTTCACTTTATAATAAAGAGCCATTGGCAGTACGTTTGGAATTGTCAGGTTTGATAATTAGCTTACACGTTGGAGCCTAATGCAGATAATTTCTTAGCGAGACGGTGTTAATTGGTGTGAGCGACTAATTAGCAATTAGGGACACAGTGTGATTGCTTATTTCACTTGTTAATTGACAAATCACTGAGCAACGATTACTTTCGTAAGAATCTTTCGCTTGATTAAAAAAAAAATGATAATTACGGACAGGTTTGAAAGAAAACACTTCAAAGCTGACTCAATTATATCAGCGCAGTTGGTCTATGCTGGACTCAAAACGTGCAAAGCACAGCCATTCTCAAGAGGAAATGTTGGCAAAAAATCGTGTTTGCCGTACCAGTCTTGGCAGCCTATAGACATTATCATGTTGCGGCCATCTTGATTTTTTCTCATTCAAATCAACGTAACCAAAACAAGGCTGGAAGGAAAATAGTCTGGTTCCTTTTTGCACAAAACAAAATTCATTCAGTACTGTTATTGGATACAGGGAACATGACTGAAATGGTGGCAGCATGATAAAGGTCTATATGTTCACATCTTACGTTTAAGAAACTGTTTCATTAGTAACTTGAGTAAATTCCACCTAAAGACTGATTTTGTTGACTTAATGTGAAGAAGTTGACAGTAGAGTGTTAGATTGGTATTCTAGAGATCACAGGTTCAATTCTGTCTTCTGGGAAACCCTTTAGTTTGACTAAATGATTCATGAAAGTTTACGCATGTTTAAATGGCACTTGCTTAAAAAATTGGTTTTTATTGTCAAATGACAAAAACCACATAACATGTTGTATGTACAAAGTCACATTCATTTCCAACGACATTTCTCAGTACTTCCTTTCCTTAAGTGCTCTGTAAAACTGTTGAGTTGTGTGATGACAGTACTGTATAAATATGAAGTCAAAAATTGTAATATTTCAAATAAGAAATTGGATGCAAACGTTTGGACAGAGATTCCACTTTATTTTGTTATCTTGGAAGAGTGACTGATTTTGTAGGAAAAAAAGGTTGCACCCCTGTATTAAGGAGATGATATTTTTCTGCACGAATGTAAAAAGAATTTAGTGAACCTTTGTCTTCTTTGCAATTTGGTATATTCCTACTCGTCAAAATTTTAGTTAGTATCAAGTTCAGTGGGGTTGAAATTTTGCCACATTTTGCTTTCTTTATTGATATTCATGTGAAAATGTGCAATACTTGTATTTTAAATTTGGAAAGCCAATTTTGAAGTAGCGAGAAAAATTTGTTGACTCTTGACAGAGGTTGTAGACAATCCCATTAAACTACTCGTATTTTATCTGTTACACATTAAAATTAAAGATTGTAAAAAAAGAAATCTGATTAAACGTTGGTTGATTGTTGAACTAAACCATTGGTTGTTAAGACACAGATATTGTTTTTGAAAAGAGAATGATTGGAGTTTGGAATTTTGAACAGTTGAGGGTGCTTTTCTGTAGAGGTTTTGGGAAATACATGCACATGTATGTAAACATGATGGCTAGATAAGGTGCATTATTTGCCTTTTTACCAAGATACTGTGTGGTTTATGTTTGAAAGCTATTCTTAAAGCAAGTTTAAATTAAATTAAAATGATTGCTTTAACCATCCCCTCCCAATATAATAATGGTGCCATCCAAACTATGGCGTAAGCTCTTGTTGGCACTGGATATTTTGCAAATTTTATGAGTAAATTTAAGAACGTTGAGTTTGCAGAAATGATAACATTACACAGTGATATGGAGAGCTTTGTAAACATTTATCTTTTCGTCCCTACGATATGAGGCTTATATTATTACAAGTAAACCAAGACACGAAGCCTCTTTATTCATATTTGCTATTAGGTAGATTGTTAAATTATAATAAAATTCATTCCAGATATTGTATTGAATTATATACAAGTTATTTTTCATCGTCTGTAGTGAGCATGTTGCATCCAGTTATTAATTAATTGATTTTTGAATAGAGTGCTATGTTATCTGTAGTAACCTTTTGTTATGATTTTGTTTGCCAAGACATTAAGAATGATGAAACTGTATTGGAAATATTTAGAGCAGTAAAATATAGAATTAAGAATTAGTTGTATTGTTTTGTTTTTAAGTACCGGTAATTTTTCTTTGCCGCAGAGCCATCTAAAGCCTTGTAAATATATTTGTTTTTCTTGCCTTGATCACTAGTGTTATTATCACTTTTTTGGCATCAATGTACGAAATCATGTAAACTTAGTGAATGCTCAGTGTAATTATAAAGTAAATTTTTTTTTGTGTTTTGCTGCGAATGTTTTAAAAGAGTTTTTGACATTTAAAAGTACAATAGACCATTATCATGTTGCGGCCATCTTTATTTTTGTCCCATTCAAATCAACATATTCAAAGCGAGGCTGGAAGAAAAATAGTCTGGTTCCTTTTTGCACAAAAAAAAACATCATTCAGTACTGTCATTGAATACAGGGGACATGACTGAAATGGTGGCAGCATGATAAAGGTCTATAAAAAGTATTTTTAGTTGATTGGGAGTTTTGTTCAAAAGCTGCAAATTAGCCCTACATTGGGGTTTTTTCTTTCTTTTTGGTTTTGAAAAAAAAAACTGCGTAAAATCTAGGAAATTAAAGGGAAAAAACAGTGCATGTTCAACAGTATTAGTATTACAAAAAAAAAGTTTGCTTAGATGTTTAAAACTGTTGTATTCTTTAAGCTTCTATCATCTAATTGCTGATTTTTTTTCATGTAAAGAAGAAAATGCTTTAATATTACAGACTTTTTCTTATTAAATTTTATTCATATTGCGAAGGGAAATTATTTTGAAGAAAGTACTGTTTTTGTATCTGGATTTTTTTTTCGACGAGGAGTATGAAATAAAGTTGGTGTTTTTCGTAATAAAATCGGATATGCGTTATCCTTTTCTTTTTTGTGTTGTGTTAATGTTGTTGGGAATAAAAGCAAAGTAAATGGAGAGCTACTTGAGTTAATTTTTAAGTCGTGGGACAAAGTTTGTGTCATCCCTTTTGTTTTGAGGAGGGGGTTGTTATCTACCTTCCTTTGAATTAAACTTTATTTAAAAAAATTGTTCATGAGGTAAAAAAGTTGTGGTTGATGGGATATAGGAAACGTGTATTGTGTGATTGATGAATGTCGACTCTAAAATCTAATTGAATAAAAAATACAAAAGCATTTTTCCTCTTTTTTCTTTATATTGAATAAATAAAGAAAAAGAAAACGCTTTTAGCCCTTTTACATTAATTGGGACCTTTTAAGTTTCTTTAATGAAGAAAAAATAGGGAAACGAAAAAAAACCGATTTTTTTTTTGTTCTTTTTAAAATTTTCCTTCAAATAAACGTTTCGTTTTTCCTTTATCAAGTTCAAGTTAAATTATAAATGAAATCCTGTGCTATTTCGGTTTTTACCCCCAAAACTAGAATTTTGTTTCAATTGCTGTTTTTCTAGCAATATAAATGTTATTCACTTTTGAATCATTTCTTGACAGAATTCGATTTAATTCAATTTGCGGCCCGACAATCATTCGGCTCTGTGATGCTGCGGGGCGCGGTACGGTTCAATAGTGCGCAAAAATAATAATCAGATGGTTTGCAGACGCCCAAAAAAGGTTCAAAAAGTAGTTTATTCGTTAAAACAAAACATACAAATTGAAAATTCGTTGGGAGAAATACTCCATTTTATATAGAGCACGGGCGCACATCTCTGAGCAAAAGAGAAACTAATTTTTGGAAAGAAAAACTTTGGCCACGCCTTTACGCTTTCCAACCGTTGAGGGGGTACTAAACTTATAGCAAGCACCTGTCTTGTACCCTTTTCCTTTGTATTTTTTGCTAAGGTGAGACCAAACGGAACCCCGTCTACTGCTATTTATGTCATCACATGATATTTTTCTCAGCACGAAGCGGAGCTAGAATTTGGAAAGTTTTGCCTGGGTGTTCCCGCAAGTATGACTTTCGTGAATTTAACAAAACATTAACATAATTTACAGATACCTTTGTTCTCTTTTCTACAATAAAACGAACTCTTTCCCGAGTATTTTGACATGGGTTTTCATCAAAAATAAAGTGCCGGCGATGATTTTTTTGGGGGCGGGGTAGGGAACGAGGGGGGGGGGGCTAGAATGCTGTATCCTGATTCCTCTTTTGTTTCACCGCAGTTAGTACAGTTGCAAAAAGCCCCATAAATTTGAGAATGAGATGAATTGAGAAACATTTCCATTGTTTTCTACTAGTAGGCCTAAATTCTGGAATGTCTGGAAAGCGGGCAATCAGATCGTGATCCTTTTAAGTAAGTTCTAGTCCAAAGCAAGCCTAAGACAAGTTGAGTGGACCGTGAATCGGTCCCTAAATTTGTTTTTGCTCATACTGGCACTGCACAGATCAGGCTGGTTCCAAACTTACATTGTCGTCGTCGCAATTTCAAGAGACGGGTATCAGACCTACATGCATGACATGTAGGACTTTTTGCATTTTCTGAATTTAGGCCTAGGCCTAGGCGTACTCCCCTTAAAAAAAAGAAAAACACATCAGAACCAGGAATCAGAAAAAAAAGCGATGAAATATTCTGCAATTAAAATTTAAATATATAGCATTCGATTCAAAACAATAAAGGAAGAAAACTCATAAGTTTAGGGGGAAAATAAATATTTGATTCATTTACTGTTGTGTGTATTTTTGTAAAGAATTCAAGTATCCTCGGACCACCATGGAGTGGACAGCTACCATTCTGGCATTGCTTAGCCTGGCATCCATCATGTTATGTCAGGCAAGTCAAGCCACTAATCCAGATCTCATCAAGTCCATGCCTGGATTGCTGAAGCAGCCAAGTTTTGAAATGTATTCAGGCTATCTGGATGGGACCGGCGCCAATAAATTGCACTATTGGTAGGTGTAAACAGAAGAGGTTTAGATATTTCCCTTTAGATATTGTGTTATTTTGGTAAAATTACGCATTTTCCGGGTGTCCGATCCTCTCCCCTGCCAAAAGCCTCAGGTCAGACTTGCTTGCTTTTCTAGGACCCCTCAGGTGTCAATTTCACAGGGTGTCAATTTCACAGCTGTCATGCAAAAATCCTGGAAGGTCCTGGAATTTAAAGTTAGTAGCCTATCATGGAAAGTTTTGGATAAGTCACAGGATTTTGTTTATTTCACAAGTATTCATGGAAGGTTGATATCCCAAGAAAAAATCAAGGAAAGTTATTGAATTTTGCACAACTCGTAAATGATGATGTGTACAGTGTAACATTTGCCTATCGAAGTCTTCAAGTTTACTATATTTCCTCTGTATGCATGTATACCCCATACTTGTGATGCTTTTTGTGGTGCTCAGTGGTCTTGCGTCAAACTGGAAGGCTGAAACGGAGTGGGGTCCCTTGCCTCTCGAGCAATAGGCCCCTTAGATGACAAAACAGCATAAAAATACAAATGTAGGTCTTGGAAAGCCTTAATTTTGACCTGGAAGCCATGGAATTGTATTTTAAGATATCTGTGGGAAGCCTGACTTCAATGAAGTCAAATAATTCATTTATGCTCCAGTTTTTCATGATTTGCTCTGATGTACCATTCACTACTCTAGACTAATTTACTTGACAGTTTAAAGAAATAAAACTGGGAAGTAGAAAAGTAACCATTAAAAGATTCTGAATGTCTTGCACATTTTATGTATTTACAGAATTCAAAGAAATGTTCCAAAACATATAAATCGTAAATGGATTTTCATGTTTTCATAGGTACATTCAATCACAGCATGCAGTGACGGATCCACTCATCATCTGGCTGAGCAGCGGACCAGGCTGTAGCGCCCTCTATAGTGGCCTGACCAGCAACGGTCCGTTCAGGGTTCAGTCAGATGGCGTCCACCTGGATAACAACCCCAGCAGTTGGAATCTGGTGAGGATTGCAAAGCATGACAGCCACTGCATCGATTGGCCACGTTTTCCTATGGAAAATGCTGCATCCACTTTTATGGACAGTTCCAACACGCTAACAATTCTATCATGAAGGCCCCCTTCAATGGCGAAAAACATTGTGCTAGCTATTGTTCAGATGATCTGTCACGGGGCAGTTTCTTTGTTCATTAGCGTGCACGACGGTTTCTCCATTGAAGGGGGCCTTGTGAGTGACGTAGATGTAGCCAAGTAATTTTGATTCGGTCCAATTCTTGAGATGAAAAGTTCCTTAGGGCAAGGAGTACTCCATTAGCTATGCAGTTGTATGTTGGCGGTTCCCCATTTCACCAATACATGTATCTTTGTTCAAGAGAGCAAGAAAATTGTTTTGGACAGTCCCTTTAATTTGAAAATATCCTCCATTCTTCACCAAACACAATTCATCTTGCATTCATAAATACCTAAGACAGTTTACGCATTCCTATTTGTAGAGAGCCCGTCACGTGGCCGGTCTTAAACGGATGATAAAGACATGGCTTGCTGGTCTTAAACACTTTTCCAGTGTCACAATAAAATGTGGACTCCTAAAAATCCAGGTCCTCTTATCGTTTCATTGGTTGAACGTTCAAAATCCTCACGTAGGCATGCGCAACACTACCAGGGAGTCAGAATTTTATAGTTCTAAATTCAAAACGTAACGCGCCAGGTGCGTTCTGCCAACATCGCGTAGAACATGATAATTACCCTCGCCTCCGGCTCAGGTAATTATTAGCACCCAGACTCTAAGTGGTCTTAAACAGAGTGATAAAAACCTCTGGAGCACACATTTATTCCCTTATTGAGTATTTCTATATTGGGGATATTGAATCATTTGCAGTGGGCTCCGTGCACAAGTACCCCCTCAACGGTAAGATAGGGAGAGTTGGGGGAGACCATTGGGAGACGCATTCGAACGCATAGCCGACGGTGCCTGATGCTCATGTGAAGACGCTATGGCTTTGTGTACTTTCAGAATAAGGCTGCTCATGCGTACTTCGCACCGTGCATGTGCGGAGCAGTACACACCCACAGTGTGTCCCACTGGCACTCTCAAAAGAGGGGGGAAAAAACGCCCTCTCTTGTTTGCGCACAGAGCCCATACAACTATTAGACCAATATTCTAAGACTTTAATCAGTCTCTTTTCCTGTCATTCTTATAGAATGCCAACTTGCTGTACATTGATGCTCCGGTTGGGACGGGCTTCTCCTACTCTGCAAATGACTTATATGCATCAAATGACACTGCGGTAAGCTTGTGACTCGTAACTAAAGTTAGTAGAGCTCTGGTGGTAATTATGAGGTTGCAGGTTCAATGTCAACTTGAGTCAATTTCATTTTCAACTGACGGTAGACAAAGCCGATATTGGAGTGGGTTCTCGATTGTTTGTTTATAAATCAATATTAGCTTTTGCCCTTCACCAATTAATAAACACTGTATATTCAGTGTGTTACCTCCCGAGTGAAAGTGAGAAAAATCATTCGGGTGGGACTCGAACCCACGACCTCCTGCTTTCTAGTGCAGACGTCTTACCACTTGACCACCGAGCTAACGGGATCAGTTGGCTGGTTCAAATCTGATGTTCATGTAGCTGCGGGAGGTAACACACTGAGTACACAGTGTTTATACGTCGGTGAAGGGTAAAACCTAGTTTGATTTACATCACCCCGACACAAGTTCATCTTATAAATTGTTTGTTCATAGGTGAACCACAATTTCACTTCACTGCCTTCCCCCCACCCCTTTTTTTAGTTCCATCGAACGTGAACAAAAGCTAGATTTAAATCTTTTTATCTTTGCTTTCTCTTGTCCACAGCAAATTTTAAGTAAAAAACAAAGACCCAAAGCCCAAAGACTTTATACTACACCATTTCTAAACTTCAATAAAGCTGGCGGCCGTATGTCCGTTACTGAACTCAGAACCTGCAAAGGTTAATAACCATGGAAAGCTCTTGTGTCCGTAAAACCCAGAAATCAATTCCTTAAAACAATCCGAATTTAAACTAATTTTGTGGTGATAGGTTAGTTAAAGTGGCCTTTTTGATAACCTTTTGTTTATTTTATTTGTAGGTGACTGAGGATCACTATCAGGCTCTGCTGTCTTTCTTCACTAAGTATCCCAACAGCACACTGAACAACATCTACCTAGCCGGGGATGGGTATAGCGGTGTCTATGTGCCTCTCCTACTGGCCAAGCTGGATAGTGTCTCACAGAAACTACCACTGCAGTTTGGGGTAAAGATCAAACTTTTATTTGATTCCTAATTTGGCATCAAAAGTCTTTAACAACGGTGTCAATCAGAGCGTTGGTTTCAGTGAAGGTCTCATCACACGTCATCGCAAGTCATCACAAGTCATCGCAAGTCATCGCAAGTCATCACAAGTCATCGCAAGTCATCACAAGTCATCACAAAGTGTATGACGATTTGTCTAGCTTCAAATTAAGTGACCACTTATTCCACTGAACTTTGATAAAAGCATTTTTTTTCACTCTTCACTTCTTGTGATTAACTTGTGATTGACTTGTGATTGACTTGTGATTGACCTGTGATTGACCTGTGATTGACTTGTGATTGACTTGTGATTGACCTGTGATTGACTTGTGATTGACTTGTGATTGACTTGTGACTGGCTTGTGATTGACTTGTGATTGACCTGTGATTGACTTGTGACTGGCTTGTGATTGACTTGTGATTGACTTGTGATTGACTTGTGATTGACTTGTGATTGACTTGTGATTGACTTGTGATTGACCTGTGATTGACTTGTGATTGACCTGTGATTGACTTGTGATTGACTTGTGATTGGTTTGTGATTTGACTTGTAATTGACTTGTGCCTGACTTGTGATTGACTTGTGATTGACTTGTGATTGACTTGTGATTGACTTGGGTGATTGACTTGTGATTGGTTTGTGATTTGACTTGTAATTGACTTGTGCCTGACTTGTGATTGACTTGTGATTGACTTGTGATTGACTTTTGATTGACCTGTGATTGACTTGTGACTGGCTTGTGATTGACTTGTGATTGACTTGTGATTGACTTGTGATTGACTTGGGTGATTGACTTGTGATTGGTTTGTGATTTGACTTGTAATTGACTTGTGATTGACTTGTGATTGACTTGTGATTGACCTGTGATTGACTTGTGATTGACTTGTGATTGACTTGTGCCTGACTTGTGATTGACTTGTGATTGACCTGTGATTGACCTGTGACTGGCTTGTGACTGACTTGTGATTGACTGTGTGATTGACCTGTGATTGACTTGTGATTGACTTGTGATTGACTTGGGTGATTGACTTGTGATTGGTTTGTGCTTGACTTGTAATTGACTTGAGATTGTAAGACAAGATAAGTTTGCGGTAGCACCATGTGAATAAATCTCTTTTGTGAGTATGTGTGGTTCTGAAAAGAACCGGAGGGCCTTGAGATTGGCTTGTGATTGACTTGTGATTGACTTACTTACAGCTTTAGGTCCCAATTTTCCCCAAACTATCGAGAACAGATGTTTACACTTCAATGAGCGTTAATATATTCTGATTCTTATTTCGTGCAGGGCTTTGCTGTTGGTAATCCACACACCAGTCAAGTCTTGCAAGACAATTCACTGATCGGTTTTGCATATCACCATGGCATCATTGGGGAACAGTAAGTAGTACAGTCTGGCACCCGTTTCATTTGTGTACTTTGCAAATGCAAAGAGTGAGAGGTACACTATCTCACGTCGCTTATACTGTCATCACGTGGCAATAAGCCAAATGAGTACAAATGGCATCAATTCAAGTTTTGACATTTCAAAGAACTGAATTGTTAACAACGGCATCAGGTTATTGTGGGTCTCTGAAGTGTTGGAGAAATGTTACAATTTTCAATTCATCATCAAATTATTATATGTTGACTTTGCTCTCATCTTATGGAATTAGGACACAGTTAATATTCAGTATTTTAAAAAAAAAAATTCAATTCAATTATGACCACTTTCTGCTTTTTTTTCTTTTTTAATGAGAATAAGAAAATGATGAATAAAAATTAAGAAATGATGTAAAAAAAAATTAAGATAATAAATGATATTTTTTTTTGTTCAGGCTGTGGGCTGAGCTCAACATATCTTGCTGTTCTCAAGGGAAGTGTAATTTCCACAACAACACCAATAAGGAGTGTGTTAGTGCGGTAAGTAGATTTTGTGCCAATTGGGAAAGTTGTTTGGCCTAAATTGATCACCAATTTCTTTACAAAAATTTCTTCAAGATAAGTCTGAGGCTACTAAATGCATCTTTTGCAATGCAAATCTAAAAGGGAAAAACTAAGACATTAACCCTCCTATGCAAACTTACATTCTATGCCAAGTTGTCCTTTCAGTCAAATTCAATCAAGTGACTGTTTTAACAGTTAACAGCTGCCAGACTACATAAAGCAGGACTGACTGGCTGTGACTGTTTATGTAACTTGATACTATGCTTTGACTGTAGGTGAATGATAAGGCAGCTGTGCCCACCACTTGCCTGCTTTTGTCTGTTGACTGAATTTGACTTGCCACAGTGCTTGCTCAAAATGTAATCTGACTGTTGGTGACAAGCCTGTTTAATAGTCACGCTCAGAATGTGACTTTGACAATTTTTTTTTTCACACAGGTAAACCAAACAGTTAACGATGTAATCAACATTGGCATCAATCCATTCAAAGTCAACGGTGACTGCGCCGGCGGGGTACCAGTGGCTGCAGGAATGATGGGTAAAAATGGCTTCTACCATTATGCACCAGGGGTGCAGCACATATTCGCCAACAACGATTTTGCGCAGGAGCAACAGAAGGTACATACAATTTAAATAAGTCCATCAAGTTGCATGCCCCTTTAATGTTTTCATCTTTTTTGAATCCAGTATTAACGGGATTCCACTCAGGAAGATTAAATGCAAATCTTATTGATGTTACTGCTGTCACAATTGAAATAATAAACCCAACAACTTGCCTGCTCCTTTAATGTTTTAACCGTTAACAGAGAATTAAAGGGATTCCTTCATGGAAGCTTAGCCCAGATCATACTGCTGTCACAGTAGAACTGAATAATCACTGCCTGTACCTTTAATGTTTTTGTTGTTTGTAATAGAGTATTAAAGGGATTCCTTCGTGGAAACTCAAAGCAGATCTGACTTGCGTTGATACTACCCCCGTGACTACCTACTTGAATAATGCCTTAGTCCGTTCAGCTCTGCATATAGTTGACCAGTCACCCAAGTGGGAAGTATGCAAGTGAGTACAGGAAGCAGAGGTGGTTATGGGTAATTTGATGCATTTTGGGTAACAAGGTATGCCAATCACGCAAGTGGGAGGCAGCGGCGTAACTAAGGTTAAACTTTTAGGGGGGGGAGGCAATTTTTCAAGGGGGGCACTAAAGGAAACTAAATTGTTTTTATACAATTCAAGATTTATTGTGGGTTTTTTTTTTTTTTGGGGGGGGGATCCGGGGGCCATAGACCTCCGGTGGGGGGCACGTTCTCCCCCTGTTTATACGCCACTTGTGTGCAATTAAGTACAGCAGGCAAAGGTGCTTAGGTAATTTTATTGTTTCACTCAGAATCGGAGGTCTGTTGGCTCCAAGAGTTGAATCGGACCGATTTCTTCCTCAAATTTGGTTTGTACATGAACAGTTAAATATTGGAAATAGTATACAAGTATTGACTGCTTCAAGTGGTGTAGTAAAACTAGCCTCCCGAGGTGATACATGAAACATTTTTTTCCCGAGGCAAAGCCGAGGGAAAATAGAATGTTCCATGGATCACCTCGAAATGAAGCAGTCAGTATTTGTTTTATTACACCTTTCTCACAGATCTGCTTGATTTTAAGAAATGACTGATTAATGTAATCGAAGTTCAATTAAAATGTACTTCTATTTGAATAGGAAATTAGTGGGAAATTTCCTTGCATTTTTCCAAACTACCCCTTCACGAAATATTAGAACACAGCCATGTACATGCTGTAGCGCTAGCGCTTTTAATACGCACACCCGTATGCATAGTACTCTGGTTGTTGAGGGTATAGTACTTTTTGCTGTGCACAGTAAGATAGCGAAAATAGCGAATGCCATGTGACTCTCTCTTGGCCAATCAAGATGCAGAATCTGTGGGTGAGATGTTGTAATAGTGTCTACGTAGAAAGATCCAACGTTTCAGTTGTAATTTTTGTGTCTGTTCCTATTTAGTGCCACTGTGTATCAGCTATACACCCAGCAGTATCCCGACATGTCCAGTGTATACACGGATCTTCTCAACACATTTGTAAGTACCATCGTTTTAAAAGTTAGATTACCACATTCACAACTAGCATGCGTACCAGTCACAAAATCATGATACAGATTGGGTACAGTTGGTTGAAAATCAGTTGCACGCTTTTAATGCCATGCATGGACATGAACCCTACACATGCGATTTGTCCTTCTTGTGGTTCTTGTGAGTAGGCTACGACTGCCATAAACAGATCTGGCCTCTTGATCTACTAGACTCAAGAAATCAGTCCAATACTTGTCTAAGAATATGCCCTCTCTGTATTACTGAAGGGTTGAGTAGCCACACAGTCCAAGGAACGTTAAGGTAATTTTTGATAATAAACAAATGAACAATTTCAAAACCACTCCATGACCAACTGGGCCCTATTTGAGAAGAGGACGAGGGCGCTGTTACAACGGCACTTTCTGGGTATCAACTCTAGAGAAATCCTGTTTATTGAAGTAATTTACTCAATTCCAAAAACTAAACATGGAAAACAATGTCATTTTTGAGCTGTAGTATTGTGTAAACTGAGGTGAATTATCTTCGCTCCTCTATTGATTATAGTTGCAGCGCCCTGTTCGTCCAAGAATTGAGGATTGGAACTTCCAAAGAGGCAATTTTTTTTTAGCAAATGAGGACGTTATAAAGACGTCAATTTGGGGTACACAGTGACATGAATCTCGGTTTTTTTATGCAAGCTTATGTGTTACTATGATTCAATTTCGACAATCTCCAGTTTTTAGATTGGAGCGAAGGTGCTGAAGTGCCTTGAGAAAATTAATGTGATATTTCCATTGTTTGTAACGAGAATATGGCATTGTTATGGCATATCTCGTTAACTGACTGATAAGGGCCAATGATCGCTGTCATTCCTTCCATCATGATGTGTTTCTCCATCTCGCAGAAATATCGTCTGCTAGTCTACAGCGGTGACCAGGACGCTACACATAACTTCCTGGGCAATGAGTGGTTCGTGACTGGTCTAGGCCGGCAGGCGGAGGTCCAGTGGCGTCCCTGGCTGTTCAAGAACGCTCTAGGTCAAGACCAGGTAGCGGGGTTTGTCAAGGAATACGATAACATCGCCTACCTATCCATCAAGGTAAAAGTGTACGTTTGAACTCCTTGCATACTGTGAGCCAAATATAAAGAGGGATGATAAGCTGGCAATATATCGGAAGTATTGGTTTGGACATCATGGTGCATTGTGGTGGGACCTTGCTGCATTGAGCCATCAATACCGGTGCATAAACTACCAATTCTGAGACTAGTCCCATTCAACAAAGCCACCGTTGTATCCTGACACAATTGGCAATCACAGACTCTGAAGCAAATTGGCCTTGGGAATCTTTTACTCGTTCACCTTGTTACACTGGGTAGGCTGCTCACTTGGACAAGTGTTGCATGCTGTTGCGTGGGGTAGGGCTCTAGATCAAGGTATCCTGGAGAGTTAGGGTTAAGACAATTAATTCATTACTCATAGAGTTACTAACAGGCTTTACCCTACACAGAAGTGTTGTCCCACAGCTTGTGAAAACAAATCGCAAGTTGGTTTTGGTGGGACTGGAACCTGTCACAAGCAACAAGTGTTTAAACTCCCTGGGCCTTTTTGCTAGGATGTAGCCTCAATCCTGCAAATTCCTCCATTATTTCTTGAATATGGTCCGTGGAAGGGTGACCACTGTCAATATGTTGAGGCTTGGCCAGTGACATCCTGGAGCAGTACGGAGGATTTCAAGCATACTCCAGGCGTATTATTTATGCATGGCTGAGCAAAAACAACACAAGGTCCCACCCAAGACCTTGTCAAAGTGCATCCTAAGAAATCAGTAACGCACTTTGGCCATGTAACTTCAATCCTCCAAATTATTCCACTTTGGCAAAGAGGATTTTGAAGGATTCAGGGCGGTTAGGGTTAACTACAGTGGAATATCTTTGGCACAGTTCATTTGAATAACGTGCAAGTTAACTTCGTGGATGTGTAGTTGAGTCCATCACAAGTCCATCACAAGTAAATCACAAGTCCAGTCACAAGTAACAAGGGGTGAACAGTAGTAACAAAGGAATGTTTTTGTCGCAGTTCATTTGAATAGATTGTGTCTTGACTTGGGACTGGAGGACTTGTGATGGACCCATCAACAACACTGTCAAACAGGGTCAGCTGGCCGATTTCAATCTAATAAGCAGTGGATACATCGTTAACATTTTCTGATTTTCTATTCCTTTTTAATATATTTTTTTTTTATCAGAACGCGGGTTTCTGGGCACCACAGGACCAGCCTCTCGCAACCAGCCTACTCATCTATAACTTCATCTACAAGAGGCCTTACTAAGACATCAACAACGCAGGATTGAGGAAGGTAGAACCCAGCTACAGCATTACGTATGTCTTGATGACTCTTGAAAGTTTCATTCAAAAGTTTGTGCCATTGGATTCTTGCATAGTGGTGAATTTAGGAGTCGGCAAGGTTCCTAGCAAAACGCCAAGGACAAATACATGTAAAAAAAAACCTCCGAGTGCAATAGCACCGTCTTTCTTACTTAATCTGCCAATAAAAAAATGATATTCCAAAAACATTAATTGATTTTGGCAACAATTCCTTATTAGACAATTGAGTTGTGCATGAGGTAATGTAATTACTATAACTGACGTATTATTAGCATTGAATGCCGAGACTGCCTTCAAACTTTCCTTCTGGTTCGGAGTCGAACCCCCACCCTCCTGCTTACTGGTGCAGTTGTCTTACCCACAGGACCACCAATAGATTTACCGGGTGGGATATATTTTTGGGTGTAGGGATATATTTTGGTGTAGGGATATATTTTGGTGCATGTTGTTTTTATATTGTCATTCAATATTTTGTGGTAATTTTAAATAATATGTTTTTGATAGGTGGATTATAGTATGAAAATCATACAAGGGAATTATAGTGTGTATATATTGTGAATGTTTGGTTTATAACCAATAAAGTAAGTCTGTAGGAACTCATTTTTGTTTTTATTTCGGCGCAGCTGAAATTTGAAAGTGTATTGATACTTGTGTATTCATGTAAGAGTCTAGCATATACGTCTAGAACTGTTTATTTTATTTTATTTCAGACAACACATGTTCAACTGAAGAAAACAGACTTTGCACCAACAGTTTGATCTTTCAATTTTTTATTGACTTAAGAAGTTCCACATAAAAGCAATAGTAGAAACTGTTTGCACCCGTAAAAAAAAAAAAAAACACATTTCAGCCATTAACATCACATGATGCTTACATTATACGTGTAGGGTACAAATATAACGAAGGTTTCTTAAGTAGTACTTTGTACAGTTTATATATTCTTTTATACAGCATGTAAACAGCAATGTAAAAAAAACATTTTTCTGGATTTACTTGACAATTCTTTTCTTACTGGCCTTTACACTTTTGAATCACGTAGTTATCTTTAAGGTTAGCCTCAGGCTGTCCTGTGATTTGATCGCTCTACAACGGAACTAGCCTTGGTCAAGGCACTCGTTGATAGTGTCCGTGATGGTAGCTGTGCGCTATACAGTGCGAGAACGAACATTCGTTCTTTGCCATCTGATTTGCATATTGTAGCCACGTGAGGTCGCTGTTTGCACTTCGTACAGTGCTTAGCCCGCAACTAGTGTTTGTGTTTTTTAGCGGCAAGATACCATCCAGGACACAATCGACGTAAAACCTTGACAAAAACTAGTTTTGTCATGGGCCAAGCAATTTGACATGAGGCTAGCCCAAAGCCTACAAGCCATTTTACAAAGATGTTCCACCTTAGCAAAAAATGATAGGCGATAAACAAAACTGGCACCTTGTTGCTTACAGCTACATGTACATGTACAGGCAGGTCAACTGGTAGCACCTCATGTATGATATATGCAACCCACTTTTTTCTATACTTTTACACAATATTTTTATGACACCTTAAATTAAACTCTTTACAGTAATTTGTAATAAGTTAAAATATGATAGGGTAGTTCAAAGGTAATGGTTGTTGACATGTTAACCTTTTTTTACTTGAAACTTGGTTGGGATGTTGACAGTAAAAATTTGTCTGGAAAAGAGGAATAGACCCTGCTTTTGTTCAACAGGGGTGCACGTGAGTTTAGGGCTCGTTCAATGACGGCCATCTCTGTAGGAGTGCAACTACGTATTTTAACAATCTAGCATGCATTGCGCAGTGTTGAAAATGTTCCAAACACGCGTGCTTGTTGCTCGAAATGTGTTCGAAATACGACGCAGCCGATGCGCGTTATGCAAGTTGACGCTCAAAATGCCGATGCACGTGGATTTCTGTAGGAAATGACGTCATTTGAACGAGACCTATACCTGGGCCCAATTCCATGGCGCTGCTTAACAGTTAGCAGAAAAGTTGTGCTTAGCATAGCAGAAAAATTTGCTAACCTTAAGCACTATTTCACGGCGTGTGTGTGCTAACGGTCGCGCTTGCATGGAGATTTCTATTGTTACGTCAAGTTAAGCAAATTTTTCCTCTGAGGTTAGCGTGCCTTTTGCTGTGCTTACTGCTTACGGTCTCCATGAAATAGACAGAGGCTCTGTTAGCAGAAAATCCTGTGCTTAGCAGCGCCATGAAAATGGCCCCTGTTGTGCATTCATTGTTAATGAATTAACATAACAAAACACCTCAAAGATGGCAGCTGAATGCAACTGTTCTATATACATGTAATGCTGAAGGCTTTTAAAATGACAATTTTGGGCTTTTATGTTTCAGCATTGTAATTAATTATGTCGTTCAGTACTAAAGGCAGTTTTAAACACCTATTTTTCGTATTACAAAGTTATACTTTATTCACAAAACGGTGATATTTGATGCTCAGCATAATTATGTATTTAAAATTAAATCAATTATGGGCATGATGCCGTGTCCACTGTATTCATCATGATGTTAAATTTTCTGATATTAAATAACAACCTATGAATTATCAATTTGTGTGTTTCTGTGTTGGCTTACCACTTTGAAGAAGAGCATTGTAAATGCATAAAAAAATATTGCCACAACAAGAACTTAATTACAAATTCCCTCATCCTTAAATTGTTGGAAATGTTCAGATCACAGTTTTCTGTTTAAGTTATCAGGGCTTTTAATTTAAGGATCTTACTGGCATCAACTCAAATGCATTTCAGTATGACACAACTTTATTGGGCAGGTCTTGTACAGTCATGCATAGTATAAACAACATAAAAGAATGCACTATTTATAGTAGAGTTACAATGTACAGAAAGGCACAGAGAAGTAATATACAACTGAAAAAAAAATGCCATAACTTATTACACGAAGGTAAGAAATAGTTCGCACACAGGCCAGGAATTAGTTTTTCCCAAACAACATCGTATGGATAATTGTTGAGCGCCCTCTACGATACGCCCTCTACATATGCAGGTATTCGCTCATAACCCCCCCCCCCCCCCCCCCCTGCAAACGGGGCACTGGGACACGCTGATGAGCTTCACAGAATCTTGTGAAGGAAGTGGGGATGGCATTCTGGGTAATTTATCATGACCTGTGTATAAAGACATCTGGCTGCAGCTGTTTAAGACCGCAGTTAGCCAATGCGTGCAAATGCTGTCCGAAAACTTGCTCACAGAAATGCATACATTCCACACCGGATGTGATTTCTTTTTCATTGCAGACCATGGGGACAAATTTTGAGCGTCGCATAATATGCCATTTGACCCTTCGTGAATTCGAAACGGAGCCTGAGCAAGTGACGGGAATTGAAAATTTTCAAAACATAAGTTTTACAGATTTTCCCACATCGTTATGCTTTTCAACGAAAAAAGCATTTATGAATGGGAATAAAAGAGTGATGACTCGGTCTTAACGGCCATTTAAAACATTGCAGGGTCGTGGCCGTGATGACTTGCAGGTCACAGGTCACGCAAAATCTATCCAATCAGAAAAACCTCGGAGCGTACTCCCCATTTGCTTATGTCGGTTGGGGAAAAAATGTGCGGCCAGGACACCCATGCAGTCATGTTTTACTATACTCATGAGGACCGTCCATTGTTCCCTTTTGTTCCCTTAAATTTGTTTGTACTCTTAACTTTTTCTCAACAGCTCCCATAAGGTTTGTACAGGTCCTCGGGGTCATTGTTGTCGCACACACCCCATTGTCCCAAGCCCTCAGTCGTATAGGATAACCTGTACACACATTCTCGTTCCGTAGTTGTTCCGTTAGTCCCCATGGTACTATAGGGACCAAAGACGCTGTGGGGACGGCAGAAAGTCCCCATAACTCGGTCCTAAATTGCCTAACAATAAAAAACTTCCCCATAACAACATTTTGATAACACAGATTTTATTAATTAAGAGAAACGGCATGACGGCCGAGTACATGAATGCTTGAAAAAACACCGGATGCAGCACTAACACTACAGACAATGCACTTTTAGCCCCAGATTGTGGTTGATGGAAGTGCTCAAGAGTGCAAACACAATGTGTTGACACAGCCAATCCATTTATTGGTCCTTGACAACATACATGATGGAGAGATATGCGCAAACATTTCAAGCTGCGAAGATATCACAGCGTCATCTTCAACATACGTAGCTTCGTTGACGACCCAGTGAACATCGCAGAAATGTACCAGTAACAATTCTGTTTTATCAAAACTGATACATTACAGGCAGAAACGAAAGATCCAATTTTTCAACAAGCGTCGATACATCTGTCTTCTCACTTACAGTTTTCAGATGAATAATCAATAGTGATGCTAGCCATTTACAGAAATACCAACTGGATTTCGGAATGAGGCGATTCGAGCACATACCTCAGTAACTAGCAGTTCACCAACGACCAAGCACGCGAAAAAAGGAAAAGTACATTGCCAGGCTTATCATTGTGGAATCTGACCTCACATCCAAGATACATGTAGATCTACTGTGTTGCCAAAGATAGCGTCAGATGGAAACATATAGTGGCTGCCTGCTGTGCAATCGACTGACGGCGAACTTAATGACAATGGACAAGGGATTATTTGGAACTGACACGTACACAAAATAACCGTCGATAAAAAAAACACTTCTAAATGTGGAAATTTACTTGGCTTTGAACATCTCTTGAACAACATCAGCTATTGGATTCAAGTTTGGAACTCTTTGATTCCTTGAAATTTGGCAACTTGAATCAAAATGAACATTTCCACAGCTCCGCCTAGCTTTTCTCCAGCCTTCATTGGTTTTCGTACCAGTTTCCTCAGCCTGATTGGACTGCTAATAATCACAGGCAACATTCTCTCCATTGCCGTGACGCACAGTGTGCGGGAAATCGCGGACAGCACAAAAGTCCTGATGACATCACTAGCTATCTACGATCTCCTGGTCGGCTTGCTAACGATGATTTTCGTTGTGACTTCCTCGGCCATGAACCGATGGCCCTTTGGTGATTTCCTGTGCCAATCGGTTACGGCCCTATCCTTCACAGCATTGTGCATGTCGGGAACTTCTCTTGTTTTTCTGAATATCGAGCGATGCATTGCTGTCACCCGACCCTATCGTTTCCCCGTTTGGTGTTCCAGACGCCGTGTTATAACCCTCGTTCTCGTAACATCATCATTCATCTTAACATCAGCTTTCCTTACACCGTTTATTTTTGAAACATCTTCCGTTTACATCCCTGCTGTAGCCTTTTGCTTTGACGATAATGGTTCTGCACTGACTAATACTTTGATTCTTGTTTTCTTGCTAATACTACCCGTAATTCTGATGTCGGCCGTTTACTTCCACCTTATCAAAATTAGTCGTGAGCACGAACGCCGCAGGAACAACGGCCTCGATGATGCGAACAATCACTATGACAACAAGGCCCTGAAGACATTCTTAGTTGTGACTTTAACCGTTTGCTTTTGTTTTCTGCCCGTCCTGATCACTCGAACTGTACAGGCATATACCAGTGTGAAAATCCCTGACTGGTTACTGTGCACTGTCTACTGGCTTTCCATATGCAACAGTGGTTTCAATGTCTTCATATATTGCCTTTTCAATCAGTCGTATCGTCGGACGGCTAAGAAAATGATTGTTGGGCTACTTTCCTTCCATAAAAGTTCAGTAGCTCCAATGAACATCCCAGTATGACGGATAGGAATGAAATACTAACAACAGACGAAAATGCAAATACAAAGGCCTTAAATGAGAATTTGTTCAAAACTGTTACAATTCACCAGAGTAAGGGGTGATAAATCACTGTCAGGTTTTCAAGCACACCCAGGGAAAAAGTAGGACAACAGTACGATCAAAATAAAAAAAATTACAAAGGACAAAAGTAGGGCTTTGGAGGACAAAATCAGGATAAAACTATTTTTTGCGGGCTTTCAGGACTACTTTTCATTGATAACGGTACTCACCCATGTCTACAGCATCATTAACCTCATTTTGGCATGTTCTGTACTCACAACACTTGTGCTCCATCCTCAACTAAGCTCTTGGAAGTACAGTTGCAGTACTCCTGTGCTCAAGCCTACCATTGTGTGATTAAAATATGAAAGTGTGTAACACTGTCATGAGAAATATTCAATGAGATTTCATTTTTGGAGTTGTGGGACAAAGTAGAAAAAAAGTAGGAATTTCAGTAAAAAAAGTAGGAAAAGTAAGGGCAGGGTAAAAAAACAATAGGAAAAAGTATGAATAATTGAAAGCCTGAATTATGTTACTCTTATGCAGGATGACTTGAAAAAAGCTAACAAAATGTTTAAACCGGAGTTTTTGGTAGCTTTAAAACAGGCAAATTTTTCCTAAACAAAAACAATCATAGTGTTACGGAAAGTTGTCACTACAGGAAAAATCTTCAATGAAAATTTGCTCAGCAGTATTTTCTCCTTAACAGCTTTATGAAATTGTGCCTGGAGGCATTGGTAACTGACTGCACAGACAGTAGTGTTGTAGTACTCGGTACTCAAGTACTACTCGAGTACTTTTTTTTTAGAGTACTTGTACTCGTACTCTTATGTCAAAGTACTTGTACTCGAAATGATGGTACTAGTACTCGGGCAGCAAAGTACTCATACTCAACATGTCGAAATTGTACTCGATCATCAAATACTTGTACTCCAATAGCAGTACTGGAAAAAAAATTGTATAGCTTGACTTACCACGGCCTTATTTTATCGACATTTTCAGTTTGAAATGGTTGATTGACTTTCGGAGAAATCAAAGTTTCCTGATTTTTCTCTGTGCACGTCTGGACAAACACATTCAACAGCTAGCCGTGAGTGGGTCTGTATATTGGTCTGACTGGGCCTGGGCCAATTACGCACAATTTGCCATTTGTCATGGCCGTATTCAGAAATAGAAGTACATGTACTCGTACTCGTACCCGTTTATGGAATACAATACTCGTACTCGGAAGTACTTGTACTCGTACTCGGAGACCTGTACTTGTGCTCGGGGGAGTACAAGTACTCGTACTCGTACACTTTAGTACTCGGCAGTACTCGGTACTCGGTACTCGGAAAAAAGTACTCGACTACAACACTGACAGACATTAATGAACTAAAAAGTATAATTACCCCCCCCCCCAAAAAAAAACCAGACTGTTTTCACATGACAGCTAAGAACGCTTACACAAAAAGACACCAGCTGCAGCACAGGCACCAGAAATTAAGATTCGCAAGAGAATCAAGTCTGAGCCGCTGACATTAAGCTGTGCTGCTTTGCCATTTAGTGGCTAGTAGAGTGGCACTTTAAGGTGGCATCCATCATTTGCAGTTTGTGCATTATGTTCATTTGAAGCAACAAAAGTGATGAAAATTTAAAGACGGGTGCTGAACAATTTATCTGATGAAGTTTCAGCTCAGTGAATGCTGTATACCCTGAGAAAACAATATTCTAGGATCTCAATTTCAAATCAAAAGTTGCCGAGTCACGTTTTGAATTGGGCCTGAATTCAGGGTCCAAGACACCTTCTCACTGAGCTGATTACAGCTACGCGATGTCGCACACTGAACCGACAAATGATAGCAACCGCAGGCAGCATCGTGTCAACGCCTTGCGTGCGCTTCGCCGAATTAAAAACCGAACGACCGGTACTAAACAGAGATTTCCTACGATGCGTCTCTAGAAGCATTACTAGTCCTATTACAATAATTAGGTCAATTACTTTTTGGATAGCTGCAAATGATGGACTGTATCTTTAAAGAAAAACAGAACTGGCGGCTATCCGGAAAGCCATCAACTCTAGCCTTACCCAGTTTCACCAGTACCAGTTGATTGATTCAAAGATGATCTCGTCGTCGTTTTAAAATCAGGCCAGAATTCCTTTTATCCCGATCAAGTCAACAATTACAGTAATTTATCAACCAAATTTGCAAATTGGACCCTTCATCATTCCTCCGATTCATTCAAGTCAAGCGGAACGACGACTACATTTAGCCCCTGACTTTGGTTGATGGAAATGCTCAAGAGTGCAAACACCATGTGTTGACACAGCCACACCATTAATGGGCCCTTGACAATATACATGACGGAGAGATATGCACAAACATCTCGAGCTGCGAAGATATCACAGCGTCATCTTCAACATACGTAGCTTCATTGACGACCCAGTGAACATCGCAGAAATTTACAATTCTGTTTTATCAAAACTGATAAATTACAGGCAGAAACAAAAGATGCCTTTTTCAACAAGCGTCGGTACATCTTTCTTCTCACTTACAGTTTTCAGATGAATAATCAATAGTGTGGCTAGCCATTTACGGAAATATCAACTGGATTTTGGAATGAGGCGATTCGAGCACATATCTCAGTAAGCAGTTCACCAACAACCAAGCATGCGGAAAAAGGAAAAGTACATTGCCAGGCTTATCAGTGTGGAATTTGACCTCGAATCCAAGATACCTGTAGATCTACTGTGTTTCTAAAGATAACGTCAAATGGAAACATATCGTGGCTGCCTGCTATGCAGTCGACTGACGGCGAACTTGATGACAATGGACAAGATTATTTGGTACTGACACGTACACAAAATAACCGTCGATAAAAAAAAGCACTTCTAAATGTGGAAATTTACTTGGCTTTGAACATCTCTTGAACAACATCAGCTATTGGATTCAAGTTTAGAACTCTTTGATTCCTTGAAATTTGGCAACTTGAGTCAAAATGAACATTTCCATAGCTCCGCCTAGCTTTTCTCCAGCCTTCATTGGTTTTCGCACCAGTTTCCTGAGCCTGATTGGACTGCTAATAATCACGGGCAACATTATCTCCATTGCCGTGACGCACAGTGTGCGGGAAATCGCGGACAGCACAAAAGTCCTGATGACATCACTAGCTATCTACGATCTCCTGGTCGGCTTGCTAACGATGATTTTCGTTGTGACTTCCTCGGCCTTGAACCGATGGCCCTTTGGTGATTTCATGTGCCAAACAGTTACGGCCCTATCCTTCACAGCATTGTGCATGTCGGGAGTTTCTCTTATTTTTCTGAATATCGAGCGATGCATTGCTGTCACCCGACCCTATCGTTTCCCCGTTTGGTGTTCCAGACGCCGTGTTATTACCCTTGTTTTCGTAACATCATCATTCATCTTAACAGCAGCTTGTGTTATACCGTTTATCTTTGAAACTTCTTTCGTTTACATCAATGTCATAGCTACTTGCTTTTACGATAACAGTTCTGCATTGGTTAATATTTTGGTCCTCGTTTTCTTGCAAATAATACCGATAATTCTGATGTCGGCCGTTTACTACCGTCTTATCAAAATCAGTCGTGGGCACGAACGCCGCCAGAACAACGGCCACGATGATGCGAACAATCACTATGACAACAAAGCCCTGAAAACATTCTTAGCTGTGACTTTAACCTTTTCCTTTTGTTTTTTGCCCGTCGTGATCACTCGAACTGTACAGGCTTATACCAGCGTGAAAATCCCTGACTGGTTACTGTGCACAGTCTACTGGCTTTCCATATGCAACAGTGGTTTCAATGTCTTCATTTACTGCCTTTTCAATCGGTCGTATCGTCGGACGGCTAAGAAAATGATTGTTGGGCTACTTCCCTGCTGTAAAGGTTCAGTAGCTCCAATGAACATTCAACTATGAATGAAAACTTCTGACAGGTGGATGTGAAATACGAACAACGGACAATAATGCAAATTCAAAGGCGTTAAATAAAAATCTGTTTAAAATTGTTACAATTGTGTTAATGTAACACAGGATGACTTGGAAAAGCTAGCAATGAAAATTATGTTTAAAAGCTAGAGTTTTTGGTAGCTTTAAAAAAGACACATTCTTCCAAAAAAAAATATATTAATATTGTTACGGAAATTGTCACTATAGGAAAAATCTTCATTGAATAATACTGTTTTTAATTAAGGCCAAAAAAAAATAATCTGTCTATGGTCAGACCGAAATTCTGGAATTGATGCGGCGACGCATTTTTTTGTGTGTTTTTTTTTGGTGGTTTTTTTTTTTTTTCAAGCTTCAATTGTACAGACAAGGTGGGTACTATTTTGCTTTTTTATGTCCTCATTATACATTGGTGTCCTCCATAATATTCCTTGGTGCCCTTTATCATTTGCCTTGGTGCAATTTCCCTATTCCTTGGTGCTCCTTGGTACAAAAATTTGAGGTGGTGCGGCAATAGAGGGCGCTGTTGTAGCTTCCATGTTAATTTGAAGAAAAAAAAAGGTTGACGCGCATGATTAAAATCGACGCGCGCGCTGACCAGTGACCGAGTATTTGTTTTTTGGCCTAAAAGATCATGTCATCTTGACAATTAATGATGTTTGTAAGTTCATAAGTTTGTTGTAATCTGATTTCAAGTTTTTACATGTACGTACATGTTATATTAAGATGGCTTAAAGGTAGAGTATATCATTTGCAGCTATCCAAAAAGCAACTGACGAAATTATTGATGAAAAGCTTACTTGGTTTAAAATAGTAACGGCACTAACTCCCTGTGAAATTATTCTTTCTGGCATGCTGTCATTTTTAATGAAAACAATGAAAGAAGACCATTTCCAACGATGTGTCAAGTGATGAATCGTTGGAAATTTCCATTAGTAAATGGTTTTGTAATTCGGCACATCCGTGAAGGGGCATGCGCGCAAGTGTTGACACGACACACACGCGTGGGTAATTGCTATTATTCGTCAGTTTAGTGTGTGACATCACGTAGCTGCAATCGGCTGAATGAGAACGTGTCCCAGACGCTGATTTGGGCAAACATGACTAGGCAAATTTTGAATTGAAATGAGATCCTAGAATACTGTTTTTTTTTTCAGAATGTACAGCATTCACAGAGCTCAGGTTAGTTGTTAAGCATCCGTCTATAGATTTTGAGCAATGTTGTTGCTTCAAACGAAACAAATGCACAAATGACAAATGAGCTACTCTACCTTTAAAAGTTTGTTTATTGCAGAAAAATACATCATTGGATCAATTTTGAATATCAAAAAAGAAAATCGCGAGAAAGAAACGGAGTCCAAGAAACCCAGTCGCCCCCCCCCCCCCCACTGAGATTTTGAGTTTCTAAAAAAATTATCATTGATCTACATGACGCCCCCCCCATGAAATGTTCCAGCCCCCCCCCCCCCAGTGGGCCCCTCCCCCCACTGAAAAATTCCTGGCTATGCCACTGATCTTCAGTCCAATGTGAAACAAAATTCTCCACTTGTGTAAATGTCGCGAATGTAGAGGAAAAAAGTTTGAGGAAAAGAGGAAAAAGCTGTTTGAAAAAAGGGTCTAATAAGGTCAGATGTGTTACCATGGCACCCAACATCCAAGATAAGTTATCTTAAGTACCACTCTTTTCAAACCACTTTGAATTTGACAACCCCATTCAAATCTGTGTCTAAAACTGTTTCTCCATGCATGTCGAGTTTGAAAATAACTCCTCTGACAAAAGAAAACAAAATTCTCCTCTTGTGTAAATGTCGTGAATGCTGTTGAAAAAAAGGGTCTAATAAGGTCAGATGTGTAACCATGGCACCCAACATCCAAGATAAGTTATCTTAAGTACCACTCTTTTCAAACCACTTTGAATTTGACAACCACATTTTCAAATCTGTGTCTAAAACTGTTTCTCCATGCATGTCGAGTTTGAAAATAACTGCCCTGACAAAAGAACACGCTAGAAATTTCTGCAAACGCTTGCATTTTAAAACAATGCCGACTATACAAGAAAAGTAAAATCTAATCAAAATGATAGCAAACTATCACTGGAAAACAGAATCATATGATATAGTGGCTAAACACGGTTAAACGTTCAAAGTGGTAAAACGTTTTATTGTAATATTGCCTCTTAACAACACGCCTGGTTTTATATGACTTAGTACATTTCATAGGCACATGGGCAATACTGTTAAAAAGACGTGAGAACTGCAAATCACAAATTGCTTTCAACCGCACCAAAGTTAATCTTTAAACCCATACCATACCGACAGTCCGGCTCTACTCTCACATCTTGGCACTTCTTTTACTGTTAACTGAAGTGCGTCCCAGATTGATGTTGCACTTCCCTTTAGTAAAAGCATCGATTTCCGTCGGCTGATGGTTTGAAAATATAAAAGTCAAAAAGATGTTTGTGTGAGTTATATTCAGCTGAAGCTGAAAAACAAAAGAACTAGCTCTGTAAAAGTGAAGAAGTGTTTGAAAAAAAGGTAAAAAAAGTGCCACTGCGGTAAATACCTTATTCACATGATATATTACAAAGTTTGGATTAATAATAATAATAATAATAATAATAATTTGGGAGGCTAATCATCCTTACTCGCAGCTGGTATGCTGAATTGTGAAGGACGCGGCTACAACGTGGTCGGGCCGCTGGCACGTAAAGGCGCCTATGGCTGCCGGCCACATCGACCCATATATGACCACAGAGCAAAGCCTAAGATCGAAAGTGTTTGATTTTTCTGGAGGGAGGAAAACCGGAGGGCCCGGAGAAAAACCCTCGTGGCACAGGAGGAGAACCAACGCACAACTCTACTCACCTGTGATCCGCGGCCAGGATTCGAACCGTAGTCACCTTGGTGAGAGGCGAGCGCTTTACGCACAAGCCACCCATGCCACCTAAGAGGTCCTTTTATGATCTAAGATCATCTTTAAAGAGTTGTATGACCTCTATCCGGTGCGTAAGTGACTGTGTCCTGCACCCATTGGCTAAACACCCCGATTTGTACTACTTCTGGTTCCAATAGTGCTCAGTGTGCAGTGTGCTTGGTTTAAGTTTGGAATGACGTCACACTTACAAACCGGATAAATCAGAAAAACTACACAGAGTTAAGAATGGATCATTCCAGTTCTGGTCCCTCCCACCAAGGATAACCAAGTTTGATTGGGCTACTTGGGTCACCTGATCAAAAGTCCTGATCTGATTGGTCAATGGGTACTTGTTTGATTGACAGGCAGGAAGAGTCCATTTTGCAAAAGAGGACACTTTAATTCAGAGAATCAGAATCTCAGACTGACCTTTAGCCTTCGTAGTCGCACAGTGCATTCTCTCATCCTGTGATCCTTAGTCATTCCGTCCTCCTCCGATGATTCCTGTAAGTATTCCATGAGTGAGGGGAAACGACGCACCAGTTGGCACTCGGAATCTGGCCGCAACTACAGGAGTGAAAAACAAAACAATTCATTGAAATCCATGATAAAGGCATCATAATGACATTTAATAGAGACATTCGGGTGATGTTGTGTTGTAAAATGGTGTGTCAAAGTAAGATCTTGTGGGTAATTCTGCAGGTTGTGGGTTCGAGTCCAGCCTGGGGTTGCGGTGCGTGTGCCCTTGGGCAAGGCACTTTGGTACACATTGCTTCTCTCCACCCAGGAGTAAAATGGGTACCTGTGAGGACAGAGATGGTTACTGTGTTGAAGTCGGCCATTTCTACCAAAACGGGAGCGTACAGCTATATGGGTCGTTCTTAAATTTGCGGTCCAGTTTTTTTTTTCCTGCTGCTGTTACATCTGAAATCTATGATTTTATAATTCTGATGCATTCCATAATGCAGTCGCTCTCCAAGTGCAATTATGAATAGTTAACTACCTATACAACAGGAAAAACAGGTCACACTTTAGATCCCAAATTTACAGAATGGCCCATATACCTTCAGAGAATCAAAATGGTCCGAGGAAAGTTTTATAGGCCTGACCAGAAGGGGTAATAATAACATAGTGAATTGACTGCCAATACAGCAGATATGTACACTTAATAAATAAACAGTATAATTTAGAGTATTAAAAAAGTTCTACATTGCGTTTTGCGTAAATAGAGAAAAACAGAACACAAAGGTATAATTTAACATGCATCAACATGCCCTCATTTTTCTTCTCTGTGGACATCCCAAACAGCCCCCTCTATCATCCATGCACATATCTGATAGTTTCCTTACCTCAATGCAGGGCAGACTGCTACTGTCCGATGTGGATGCCGAGTCTTCGTTGTCAGAGTCTGGCACGAAGGAGTCTTCACTGTCTGATGATTCGTTGACGTCGTCCGATGACATGATAGCTTCACTCAGTGTAGAGCTCTCCACTAGAAAATTCAGACAAGAAAAAAAATACGAAGTGTTGTAGCGTGGCTACCCTCTTTTCACATAATGAGTGGTGAATTTGATTCAGTTTTTTCCACATTTGATTTCACCGGTTTCAATAAGAGCAGACGAGCACCTAAATGTGTACATGCAAAACCAACATTTCCAAATATTCAATTGAACAAAAACTGACTTTTAGTCAGTTCTCGGGATTGATATTCCATAAGACAATTCCCATCTGTAAAGAATTTGGTTCAAAAAATGAGGGAAGTGACTGACGTGTACTATCGCCTTCCATCTCTGTGACTCAGGTTCCAATCCCACTTACACCAACATGTTGATGATTTGGTTGTCAGTGTGAGGCCAGATGTTAAGCCTTTCTCCCGAATATCATTCAGGGGTCTTCCTCCCACATCATCAAACTAGACATTGTTCATTTGTGTTTAATATTCTGCGACTTTCAAAGGTTGTACGTAGTTTTGTAAGAATCCCCCATCAATTACCAGAAAGAATCTAATAATTTCAATTAAAAAAGTATCTTGACGGAAGCATCATAAAAGTGTCCAATTTGACTCACGATATCTCCTGACTTTGCTGTCCTGACTCAATCTCTTCAATTTGACGACGGCCTTCTTTGAACAAATCCTCTTTGGAGTTGGGACTTCTGTAACATCTTGGACGCAAGACCCTGAAGACTCATCATCCACTGTAGCTGCTGGTTCCTACAAACACAACATATTTTACACCAACATTACTTTTAGTCAAGACACCCACATAGACTGTTCCGAATCTGGCAATAAGCCCCGCCCAGCTAGTTAGACTGAGGTAACATGGTCACCTGACCAATAGTCATGATCTAATTGGTCAATGCCCTTTGATTGACAGACAGGAAGGGTCCGTTGAAAGAATCCACAAAGGTCTATAATTAGCATGCCAGTCAACCGTTACCTTTGACTGGTGGTTCTGGACTACTCTGTCCGACACTAAAAAAAAGCCCCACAACAACCCAACTGTTGTAAAATAATGTGTATCAGTTTATACATTCAAGCTAGTTTTCTCGGTAATTGCTTCAATATTTTCCCCAGCTGATGACTGATAAGTCACTGCAGGGAAAAATTAGTGATGTCCATTTACATTCAAGATAAGGATACAACAGCACGGCCAAATCTCACAGACCGGCTAAGCACAACAATCTGCTAAACATGGAAATTACTTGCTTAGCAAACACAGGTTACCAACCAAAATCTCATTCAATGTATATGGTGTGTGGCTGGTTCTCCGCTGATCCACGCTTAGCACACATTTTTGCTAAACAAATAATTTTGTTGCTTAGGAGCAACACAAATCATATGACTTTTTACCTAGTAACCAGGCTCAATTTTTATGGCTCTGCTTACCGCTAGCGAAAAATCCCCGCTTACTGTAGCAGAAAATTCCATGCTTAGGGTTAACATATTTCACGGATGAGCGAGGAATTTTGGCTTACCCGCATGCATACATCCCGTAACTTAGGAATCTGTGCTTACAGGGTGAGCGCAGAATTTTTCTGCTAGCGCGGTTAGCACAGAACGGTGATCGTAAGCGTGGAATGTTGTGGTTAGCAGGGCCATGAAATTGCCGGCTGCACTAAGCTGAATAGGTATTCCTGATTCCCAGAATATTCCTGATTCCTGATTCTGAGACAATAAACTGTAGCTCCTAAAAGTTGGCCCTTGAAATTGGTTTTCAAGAATCTAAGATATTCAAAAAGGTTCAGAAATTATCTCACAAACTACAAACCTAGGCGACAATAACTCTTCACTTACTGTACGCCTACTGTCACCAGCATCTTGACACGATGTTTCTTCTGTCTCCAGGATTTCTTTGTGACCTACGACCTCTTCAACTCTGACCTCTTCTGGCTGTGACTGGCCAGCGCTGTTGGAGTCCAGACTGAGCGTGTTGTTGCTGCTGCTGACTGTGTTGTCTTGAGCTGCGAGCTGCGAAGCTGCGGTGCTGACGGCCTCGCTGTGTTGCGGCGTCTCTTGTATCGTGGAAAGCTCACAGTTTCTGTAAATGAAACATATTCAATTAATTAATTTTGAATCGGTATGTCACTTGGTTTGGGTGCACTTTATTAGAATCTATGTAGCAGCCCTCATTTCTTGTAAAATGAGGGAAAGATTTGCCTAAACCAACACCGCCCATGGCAGTGTTTTGACCAACTCACAATTGCACAGCCAAAATTACTTTGACTTTACATGGGTCTCAATGTCCCAAATGTGTTTAAATACAAAGGGCACGTCATTGGTTAAATGCAGGTGTTGTATAACATTCTGACTCTATTTTTAAATGCATTAGCCCCCCCCCCCCCAAATGTTTAGCATCCCCGCCCGCTTCCTTCTTGGAGGCAGCCTTCTTTTCTTTTTCCTTTTTTTTTTGTAAATTTTAAACAGTGACATCAGTTTGGCCTCTTTGTCTGTTGCATCTAGCCCACATAAAGCTTGTATGTCATTTCCCGAGTCCAATGGTGGCCATTAAAAAAACAACCTGGCAGCCATCTTGAAAAAAGCCCGGTCAGGCGGCCATTTTGGAGGGAAAACAAAAAAAAGGGCCTCCCGCTTCCCTTTTTTTCAAAAAGGCAGGACGCTAAACATGTTTTTTTTTTATTTGGCCTTGTAGCTTTAACAAATATTTGTTGGTTTCCATTTTGAAGGAATTTTGTATTGTTTGGTTTTACTCATGAAACTTCAGACTGTCATCCAAGTTGAACTCCGATAAACAGATTAATAGAATGCTACAACATCTATATGTACAAAGACACCTGTGCTGACAACAGTCTTGAAGTGAAATATTCTGTCTGATGCACCAAGAAATGTCAAATGCGATAGTTTTGTAGCACTACCAAGAGACACATTGTCTAATAATTGTCTATGACTGTTCACATGATACGTCACTTCGTGGTGCAACCAAAGATTTCTTCCTTAACAAAATTTACTCAATCACCTTGTGCTAGTTGATCGAATGCTGCCAATATCTACTCCGTGTTTTAGTCTTGTGACCGGATACACCTCAATGTCCGAGATGACCGTATCTTCAAATGGACTGAACGAAGTCAAGCCCATTATCTCATCATCCTGAATGATCGTCATCACCGGCGAGTCGCTGCGAGGGCGTTTCGGGGCGTGGTCAAACCCGCACAGTCCAGCCAATAGCGACACGCTGGTGCTGGACTTGTCACTGGAGCTCTGCGATTCGTCGCTGCTTACGTTGATCTGCGATTCGCCGATTTCTTGACCGTTTCGGGACTGTGTTGCGTTTCTCTTGATGCAAGCTTTGTAGCCTTTGATCACCTCACAGTGTTTGCTGGTTTTCACCTCAGTGGGATCGAGGCAGCTATCGGCATTTTCGTACTGCACCTGTTTCCACTGTGATCGGCTCTGCAGTCCGCTTTTACTGAGATAAATTCGGCTTTTGCTGACTGTTTTTGCACCAGACGAGCCTATCAATGTAGCTTCCTGATTAGGAAATGAACTATCAGCTTGATAGCTTGGCTGGGGAGCCTCTGTACCAGACGAATGTGTTTGAAAACTCAGAGATTCGGTTTCGTTTGCTGTGAAGTAATTCTGTCTCGAAGCATTTGACATCAGATCTGTTTCCTGATGTACGGACAACTCAGGAAGAACGTCGCTGATACCGGTCGTTTCCCGAGTAGGAAGACCATTTGGCAGAGATTTCAGCTCCTTAGGACTACATCGACCTATCTGTTGTTGGTCCGAGGCTTCAAGACTCTGTGACAGAGCTGATTTCAAGACAGATTTAAGCGCAGATGATTCAGGAAGAATCTGACTTGTTCCAGGCGTTTCCAGATTAGGAAGACGTTCGGGTAGAACCTCTAGCTCTCTAGGAGCACTTCCAATTATCTGTTGTTGGTCCCAGGCTTCAGGCCTCTGCGAAAAATCTGTCTCAGAGAAACCGGCTCTTGTACTGGATGCTGCTTCTGCCAATGTCACACTGCAAACAGCGTCTTTGATATCATCAGTAGGGTCTGGAGACTTTGAAGGCGGGGGTTTACGATGGACTCCAACAGGGTGGAGTGAAGTTTTGCTCGGGCAATCAACGACTAAACAGTCAGCAAATTGAGAAGCCTCAGCGTCACTGGACCCTTTTTTATCTCGGGCCGGTTCATCGTTGGGACCACTCTCACAGTGAGCTGCGTGGGGAGCACTGCCTCTGATGTCTTGGGGAAGTGACAGACGTCCTTGAGGGTCTGATAGTCTGGAAGAAATGTTGGATGTTTTGCTGGGATTGTTTGGGGGTGCGGGAAAGTCAAAGATATCCGATGCACTCTGCCAGTCATCATCGTCATCACCTGAAAAGTTGAAAATGTCTTACATTTTAATCAGAATGTTATGAACAATTCATATAAAAGAAACAAAGACTAGGATTGGAATGTTTTTTGTACTCAGTGACTCAGGCAGTGACTCAGACAGTGACTCAGTCAGTCAAGAAACAATGGGTTGGCCCTCTTCATTCAGCAAAAAGAGAGTAAAGAAATATAAATTATGGAACTTTTTTAGACCACTCAAAAGCGTCAAAGTTACTAAGTATTAAAATAGTTTATTTTGAATTTGCTTTGAGTGAAACTGGTCAAAATCAGCTGAGAAATTAACAATAAAATACACGTTGAATTTTATATGGAAACAATCAGAATTAGTACGCACTCCGTTGAAACAAGTTTGATTTAGTAATATGAAAAAACTTAAATTGAAAGACCACAAAAGACCAAAACATCAATGAATGTCGAAAACAGAGAATACTTAGAGGTGTTTGAAGTGTTTGAATGGGACGATGATTGGGCGCAATACCAAAACCAACGGGTATTTTCTCCCACAATGCTCATGGAAAAAAAAAAATGTTAAAAGGTTAATAACAATACCTTTAAAAAACTCTGAAATTGTTAAATATGTGAATACTGTTAGAAAAAAATAAAAAGCCAATTTCTTTTTTAAAACTGCAGAACCTGAGGCTCTGGCAAAATGACTAAATTAGTTAGTTATATTCCGAGTTAACTGATATCGATCCAAAATTTGTTTCAAAACAAATTACCAGATTGTTCTTATTCCACAGTATTTTCACCGGTACGTTGGATTTTTTTTTCCAGATGTCATCACTGTTTGCAATTTTCAGATCACCTGGAGAGGTTGTCAAGTTAGCCCATTGAAAGTATGTCAAGAGCCATCAAATGTACATTAATAATACCTGGGACATTTTACATATTCCTATTGGTCGAGAGCCAGTCACGTGGGAGGTTCTAAACTGCTGTTTAAACACTGGTCACCAATGTTCAAAACCAGTTGAGAGACCCCATGCTCAGCGTCATGCGCGCAGTATGCGCATGCACCCCGGCTGCAAGTGAGTGCTTGAGAACCACTCATGCGGTCTGCATTCAAGGAGGGGTTGAGCGCATAGTAAGTCCTCGCGCACAACAGAAATGGACTGAACATGGAGTAAAATGGTAGAACAAAATCAATGGAATTGGTTCTCGCGAGTCCATCACAAGTCCATCACAAGTCCATCACAAGTCCATCACAAGTCCCTCACAAGTCCCTCACAAGTCCGTCACAAGTCCATCACAAATCCATCACAAGTCCATCACAAGTCCATCACAAGTCCATCACAAGTCCATCACAAGTCCACCACAAGTCCGTCACAAGTCCGTCACAAGTCCATCACAAGTCCGTCACAAGTCCGTCACAAGTCCATCACAAGTCCCTCACAAGTCCCTCACAAGTCCATCACAAGTCCATCACAAGTCCATCACAAGTCCATCACAAGTCCCTCACAAGTCCATCACAAGTCCATCACAAGTCCATCACAAGTCCCTCACAAGTCCCTCACAAGTCCGTCACAAGTCCATCACAAATCCATCACAAGTCCATCACAAGTCCATCACAAGTCCATCACAAGTCCATCACAAGTCCACCACAAGTCCATCACAAGTCCGTCACAAGTCCGTCACAAGTCCGTCACAAGTCCGTCACAAGTCTATCACAAGTCCATCACAAGTCCATCACCAATCCATCACAAGTCCCTCACAAGTCCCTCACAAGTCCCTCACAAGTCCTCACAAGTCCCTCACAAGTCCATCACAAGTCCATCACAAGTCCATCACAAGTCCATCACAAATCCGTCACAAGTCCGTCACAAGTCCATCACAAGTCCATCACAAGTCAATCACAAGTCCCTCACAAGTCCATCACAAGTCCATCAAAAGTCCATCACAAGTCCATCACAAGTCCATCACAAGTCCATCACAAGTCCATCTCAAGTCCTTCAAACTCAAGTCAAAAGCTAATCAAATGAACTGTGACAGAGGCGTTCCTTTGTAATAGTTCATCTCCTCGTACTTGTGACTGAACTTTCAAGGACTTGTGATTTCCTTGTGACAAAGCTTGTGACCAGGCTTGTGACTGGGCTTGTGATGGACTCGACTACAACCCCAATCATCATCTTACCATCAGACATCTCCATTTTGTCCTCTGTATCCCTCTCTTCTTCCTCTTTCCAGCATTCCTTGAGGATGGTCAGCAGCTGGTCCTCAGTGGGAGGGTTACAGAAGCTGATTGCTAGAAGCTTGTCCATGTAGTCGGATTGGGAATCCATGATGTCGTGGGAGATCTGGGAGTCAGGACCCTCAGAGACAATCTGAGCAAAGAAATGCAATGAGAAATCGTACAACTCTGTACTATTATGGAGATCTACATGTAAATGCAGCATTAGGCCAAAAAAGTCTCCGGTTTCTGGTATGGAGCTTGCCCAAAAAGTGGTGCGGCGACGCGGCTTTTTTTTTTTTTTTTACCTGATTTTTTTGCTTCAAATGTCGGCCGACTACTGCAAATGGTGCCCGACTAAACTTAGTGCAAATAGGTGGGAGTCCGGAGAGGCCACATAAAGCTTTTTCTCGACCATAACCCAATCTAAGAACACGTTAAAATTATGCAGCAGCAGGATTCCAGTCAAACCAGTGAGTTTGGCGGTTTTGAGACATCATCTTTCATTGAAAAAAAAACTTTTTCATTTTGCCGACGCGCATGGCTACGGTGACGCGCGCGCATACCAGAAACCGGAGACTTTTTTTTTTGGCCTTACAGAGATTTTTTAAACCTGGGCAATGGCCCCAGCTTCCATATTGTTGCTTGTTACGGCCATGACATACGCTGATGAAAGAGGATGGACTCATGAACTACTTGTTACCCAGCTCTTATAATACCGTGCCAGAGTAACATTGTATATGTACGTAGGGTTAGGGTATGTGGCTTGCGTTCAGAGGGTCAGGGGTTCAAATCCTGCCACTGGCTACAATGTTGTGTCCTTGGGTAAGCCACTTTACCCCCACGTGCCTCTCTCCAATCAGTTGTACACATTGGTAATGACATTAGCTGGGGCGTAACCTAAGATGGAATGGCATCCCATCATGGGAAGTAATAGAAATATTCTCAGTCATTTTATTCCAAAGAAACAGGTGATGAATGCCAGCCAGATGAGCCATATTGGCTTGGGACAGAATTAGACTTATTTCAACACTGAATTACCTGTTCAATGACAGGAACGCTAAGTCGCTCGTTGAGTCGATCGACATAGTATCGTAACAGTCGCTGAATGGCTGCAGTATAAGCCGGACCCAGCTCCGCGTCCATCTCATTGCGCAGGTACGCCTCTCTCTCGGACGCACTGAGCATTAGTCTGGTGAGCAGACGACGATATCGCAACTGGTAACTGTGAAGTTTGAAGTCTTCTTTACTCTAAAAAAATAAAAATAAAATAAATTGCAAAAAAATCTTAAAATAACAAAATACACCTCAAAGATGGTTGCCGAATGCAAACGATCTATTACTTTCATGAAAAAAGTGTCAAGAGGCAAAAAAATACAGACAAGCTCATGAGATGGTTGTCAGAGAAAGGAAAACTCACCACTCCTGTCGTCTTGAGTTCAGCTTTAGGAAAGTACCTGTTGAGACGGGCGCAGACGTTGCAATAGTCAAACTTTGACTGTAACAGTTCATGGAGCATGACCTGTCATCAGAAGGAAATGGGTCATCAATGGCAAAGAAATTATTTTAGTAGTTTTTTAGTAATGATGTGAAATATGATATGTGATGCGATCAAGCTAAATGAGTCGTTTGTCGGGAATATTTATGTGGAGAATCCGAGATACAGGCCAAAATAGGACCACTTTATCACATCACTTCATCACATCTCTTGGTGTTCCGACTTCCATAATTTTTGAACTAAAGATGGTATCAGCATGCAATTTTCACAGCAGTAATGCTGAGATTGTGCTCTTTTGAAATCTGTAATAAAAAATGTTTTGACTAGGGTCGACAAACGACTCATGTAGCTTGATCGCATCACATATGTTTTACCTTAAATCTTGAAATCTAGCACCACATTTTGCAGTAATTTGATAACTTTGGAACTGTGCAGCTCTGTCACTTTTCCTATAGGGCTTAATTTCTGTCATGTATAAGAATAATCTGCATGAGTTACCCATGATATTTTCAACTAAAAACTTTTTTTTTTCAATTCAAGTTGCAAATGTGTATTTTTTTAGGTTTTTTTTCTGTGTTGTTTTGTTTTGTTTCAATTTAGACACAGCCCTGTAGACTTGCAGGTTTCATCTTGAAATTTGACAGCGATAAAATTCCATAGACCGTTTTATGAAAAGTATGTAGTGATGGTATACTGAATGTTGCAGCAGCGGAATAGTTTTGAAAGTGGAGGGAGGAGGGAGACAAAACAACGGTGATGCCTGCTGGTTGTTGCAAACCCAAAAAGTGTGGGGGGGGAGGGAACCCTGGGGCTGAACAACTTTCGTTGATAGGGGGCACCCTTTTCTATGTTTGCACTTTGATTTGGGATTTTATGTAGCATTATGAAGTAACTTTTTACAATTTTTTTTTTAAGTAAACAAAAAATATTCCATTCAAGAAAAACTGACACAGGCAGGGATGGCAACTAATGGGCCTAACAATAGAGACTAAACTAATATTGACCTTAGTCTTGATACCAGTCGTCAGTTTGACAAACTGCTTGGCCGGCACTAAATCAGGGGCTGCCTTGTTGATGATGTCCAGGAGTAGCAGAGCGTGGTCGAATTCCGCAATGTCTTCACGCTTGACGATGGAATGGAGGGTGCCTGCCACTACACGAAGATGAGGAACATCGTTTTCCTTGAAGGATGCATTCCCTTGATGGTCAACAATGGCTGAAAATAACAAATAATTGAAAAGTAAATCAATTTTTGTATTGCTGTTTAAACCATTTATTGACAAATACATAAGAGGATAGGTATAAGTTCAGAACATTGTGGTTTTATAAAGTTCTTGGAAAGAGTTCCATACCTGGACATTACTTGACACTCTATGTACAAACCTAGATAAGACTGGTCTGAAAAATTCCAAGTGTTTTCTCAGTAAATGCTTCAATATTTTCCTTGCTAAATTTGACTTTTTAGGACATGTTATCGCTTTCTGATGGCTGATTGGTCACTGCATGCAGGGAGAAATTAGATATGTCCATGTACGGAATTCTTCCCAAGTTCTTTTATATTCACTTTTCCAACCAATTTTTTCTCACTCAATCACAAAACAATATTTGCTCGACAAAAAACATTTGACTTTACCATACCTGCGATAACATGATCCATATAATTCTTGCATGCATAATCGAGGATCAACTCCTCTACCGTCTCGCGATCTTTTTCTGTACTCCTCTTAGGACATCTGTACACGGCCATTTTGCTGTCCATAAATAAGAAAGGGAAGAAATGAGAACAATTTTTTCCTTGTGCAAAAATTAAGCAGTTAGACGTAACTGTACTGCCTACCTACATGATGTCAGTCATTCGAACTATGTTGAAAAACCTTTGGGGCTGGGTAAAAATTCCACTATTGTTAAAAAATATATCAGGCCCCATACAAAAATTATTAGTTTATCATCCCTGCCCGCATCAGTATTGCTGATGCAAAACATTTTTACTTTTATTTTCAAAGGAATAGTAAAAAGTTGCTGTGCAGCCTGCCCAGCCTGCCAGTATGCAACTTTCAGGACTTGTGAATGTTTATTTCAGTCTTGTCAGAGTGACTGGTTCGTACGCTGCTTACAATGCACTGTCATGTATGAGCGTCAAAACAATGAAATAACACGAAAACAAAAACTAGGCCACTAGGCCTACGTATATCATGCCAAACTACAAAATACACTTGTGCATCGATAGGTGATCGGCATCGTGGTCTTGTGGATATTGTTGGTGATGGGAACTACCATTCTTTTCTCTTAACACTTAGTCCAAAACCGGGATTGTGTGTTTAAAAGTGAATAATAAAGAAGCTTGTTTTTTAATGATCGAAAGGCAAGAACTTTTTTCTTGATCGACAAAGCGTCTTTTCCGGCAGCGATTTTTTATTTTATATACAAAATCCAATTTTGTTTCTTTTAAGCGGCGATTCCGTAATCTAAATTAGTAAAAAAAAAAGGGCCTGCTCGACGTGACAGCACGCGCTTGGGACCAGTTCTAGCACTTGGTCAGATTAATCAAAAATATGTGTACATCATTGTAGGTAACTTATAAATTGTCTAGAATCACCGACACCGCAAACTCAAGGACATTTTTGCCATCAATGTCTCATAAAATCTTTGCCACAGCTCTTCTTCTCGATCCTATATGTACATGGCCTTGTATTAACGTGCACTGATTGCATGTGCAGTCACAGCAGTCGACATGTAGCATGTATGTGTCGTCATTAAATGTCACTGTATTATACACTACTAATAGCAATCAGACTTTCACCCCTCCCCCCCCCAAAAAAAACCCCCAATTCTGACTAAAATGGAAACTAAAAATATCGATATATTTTTATCATGGGGCCTAAATTCCTCACAGGGAAAGATTCCCATATCTGGCCATCTCTTTTCACCCTGTGCACAAACTGTATGAGAATGAGATGAGCATCATGAGCATGATTGATGAGACCATGGCGCTCCATGATGAAACGGCGATGAGACTGGTCTGAAAATTTCTTCTCAGTAAACATGGTTAAATACTTCAATATTTTCCATGCTAAATTTGAAATTTTGGACAATATTATCATTTCTGATGGCTAAAAATTCGGTGATGGCCAGATATGGGAATCTTTCCAAACTGATCAAATGTACACTCCATTCCGCACACAGAAATTCGCATCCGTATTACCATAATTAACAATGAAAATAGAGTTTTCAATTTCACGATATCCGGCTAAAACCTGTGCGGCTGTGTAGTGTGTAACCAGCAACACGAATTGTCCACGCGAAAATTGTTACAATATGCTCACATTCCCTTTTCATTATATCACCAGTTACTGTAAATGTAATGCATATACTTCACTTCCACTTAAAAGGTTTGAAAAGAAGATTTTGTAAATTGTAATAGTACCTCAGGCAACGGCGATATTCCCTCCTAAATTGTCGGTCAAAATCCTCCCAAAAAAGTTTTCAGAATCGGTGTGCAGGGTGACCGTAAGGTCATGCCAAAATTCTGCTAAATGCGCTTCAAAAATCTGTCAGATTAATCAAAAATCTGCCAAATTCCCCAGAATCACTCGAAATACACTATAAACAATTAAAATCACATGCAGGTGCTGTAGTATTGCCTTAATTAAGGTTTAAATTACATTATAAACAATCTATAGTCACATAACGATGTCATGAAGTTGCAAAATTTTCAGGCAAAATGTGCCCACGACGAAGATCCGATGACAAGTGAACCTCAGCAGCTAGACCAGGCAACCTGTCCCATTATGCAAGGGTTTGCTTGAATAGATTGAAGCTTTTTAAAACAAATTTACCACTTTTTTTTTTAAATTTGCTGTGTATTTTCTGTTAAAATTAATAACCATTTTTAGAGAATTCTGCCAGAAATCTGCCAAAAAAATCCATTCTGTCATATCTGCTGTCAAACTCGTCTTTTTACGAAAAATTGCTAAATTTAGCTGAAATTCGGCTAAAACGGTCACCCTGTCGGTGTGGTACCCTGCACAACTGTCGTAAAAGATGATAGTTTTAACCAAGTCGAAATGGAGCCAGACGAAACACCAGCCCATACCACCACATCATGCACCTGTCCGCGTGCGCGCGTGCTGTTCATAAATGCATGTTCCGCACTAGCTGTTTTGTCCTTGGGGGAGGAGCGTGGGACAGAAGGGGAGGGGGGGGGGCAAAAAGACCTAAACCAATATAATTTCAGTTGTCTAACATTTCCCCTTTATTGCGAGGGGGATTTTCTGATATTAAACTTTTATTTTCACTGTAATTTTAATTGTTAGTGTTAAATTAATTGTTAGTGTTAAAATGCTCAATTAGGACTCTACTGCAACCATGGAGCAAGGAAAACGTTTTCCTTGCTCCATGCTGCAACACATAATAAAATGATTTATGACTGTATTCAAATAAAGATTTTATTTCAGAATATAACCTCAACAACCAACATCATATCTTCACTATTATATCGTAAATTTTGTATCAGTGCTACGTAGCAGGAATACTAAATGCAGCCTTAAAGTTTACAAAAGCAATAACATGTCAAATTGCATTATGTAAAAAAAACTGAAAAATACATTTGCATCAGTCCTCCAAAGTTTATACTGTAAAAAATTCACAGCTCACCCTTCAAAAAAAGTATCAAGACACAACTGTGCTTTCCACCATCATGGAATCGAATTGGATGGCACTTGATAAGTAGCCTATGGACTAAAAGGCTTCATAGACAAGTCGGTCACAAGTCCAGTTCAAAGTAAATCCGAAGTCCAAAGTACTGAAATCACAAGTCCAATCACAAGCAACAGTGGATGAACAATATCAAAGGAAGGCTGTTTGTCACAGTTCATTGAATAAATTGTGATTTGACTTAACTGAGACTTGATAACTTGTAAGGACTTGTGATGGATGTTACTACAACACTGTTAATCAGTCTATATAATGCATCTATCAAGTACAAGGTTATTAGGCCAAGTAAAAAAAAAAAACAGCTGATCGTTCAGGCATAACATTTTTGAAAAGATGTTTCAGAAGGTCTGATGCTTTCAATATTTTTACTAATGTTCAATAAGCACTTTGAGAAGGTTTTGTGGTCCAAAACTAGTAGACAACTACCCAGAACTATCAAATAAAAAGGGCCTCCTCCTTTCTAAGGCACACATTGTGTAAGCTAAATATGGCTATTTTAGCCCATTTTTCAATAAAAAATCAAAAATAAAAAGGCCCTCATCCTCCTCTTTTTGAAAACCCAGCCGATCAACTGGTATTTTTTTTATGTTCAGGATCATAACTGCAGAAGCAATGTACTCTCTGCAAACTTTTTTGTCTGAAATTCATGATTATTTACAGTTCATATAAAACATCAGAGATGCATACCCACGCTCTTCAAAAAATACATTTTTTTTCTAACAAATTTTCAATTTTCAATTTGTATGTTTTGTTTTAACAAAGGAGCTTTATTCCCATTTGGGGCGTCTGCAACTCTCTGAAAAAGGCTTTTCATTTTGTGCACAAATGAACCCGTCCTGCGAGAGTCGAATTATTGTCTAGCAGCCAATAATTCAAATTTTGTGAAGAAATAATTCAATAACTAAACATCCGTGAATTTTTTTGTTCACTGTCTCATTCAAAAGTGAATAACTTTTATATTGCTAGGAAAATAGCAATCGAAGAAAGCAAATCTATTTTCCAAGGTGAAACTTGAAAATAGCACAGGGAATCATCTTTAAACTACATATCATCTTCTCATTTTAGCGGATACAATGAAAAGGCGTTGACTGAAGATATAAGAAGTGATCACATAAAAATAAAAAGTTGACACATCTTGCACTTATTTTAAAACTTAAATCTAAGTAAATAAGATATTTTTAAAGTAGTTTTAATTCATCCATTTCAATTAAAACATTTACGAGATGATTGTACGAATAATATGAGTTGCTAAAAAGTGTATACATGCTCAAATGTAATTCGAGTAGATATAATTAAGAGGAATATAGTGAAGATATTAACAAATCAAAAAAAAATCATCTTTTGGCACATTGTGAACTTAATTCGACAAGTTAATAGCTCAATTAAAAACACCAAAAGCACAAGTTCAGAATTTATGCATAATTCAGGCTCAAGATATAAGCTTTATTTAATCCCTTTCAATTCAAAATAATCATCATTTTTTTAATGATTTAATCATTATACAAGCGGACTGAAAATGCAAGCATTGTTCATAGCATAAAAAATGGCAGTTTGCAAAAAAAAAATCCCTTGAATACGTGATTTGTATTCACACTGAGAAGACTTTGCCAGGATTCATCAAGTTATCCGGATCTAACGCCCTCTTGATTTTTCTCATTGTAGCCACGCCTTCTTCCCCAACCTCCTTAAGGAGTAGTTCTTGTTTCCCGATGCCTATCCCGTGTTCTCCTGTGCAAGTACCGCCCAACTCCAGAGCACGTCTGTGAAAAAAGGAGGGGAAAAGGAGGCTCTATTTCATGGTGGTTTCCGGGGTGAAATTGTTGGAAAATAAAAAATCCACGAAACAATCGGCAGAGGGTTTGAAAGTCGCTGTCTCGTCGAGGGCCTGATAGTAACGTAGGGTCTATGGTATTTGTATATGCCTAAAGGTTCCCCTTAAAATATCCATTTTGTTTTAATAAATAAATGTTTTTATAAGTAAAAATACCTTTTTGGTAAAACCTCAGGAATTCCAGATTTCAAGAGGGATTCTTTAAAAATCCTGAAATCAGGAAAAAATCCTGATAAACAAAATCTTGAAACCTGGAAAAATCCTGATAAATCTCACCCCTGCACAGCAGAATTCCATTGTGTGCTTACAGCGCTAGCACAAAAATTATGTGCTAACCTGGAAGCACAGAATCCTAAGTTATAGGATGTACGCATGTGCACAAGCCAAGTTTCTATGATAGACCTGAGAAACGCACTTATCATAACCACAGAAGGGCAAAACCTAATATTGATAACCACAGACATTTCTGCATATTAGTGAAGATTCTTTGCTTTCGGTAAGCCAAGCCATATGAAATTGGGTTGTGGCTACAACGGCAACAGCAATATATGAACAAATATAGTAATGGATTTGTGTCATTGTTAGCCATATTAACCTAGCTATAACTTACTGTTTTCTCAGCCCCATGGGATGGTAAAAAAAAGTGTGGGCCAAATTTTAAGGGCACAAATACTGCTTAGCAAATTTATGTAATAAGCAAAGATCAGCTGAGAACCAGTCAAAAGATATATACAACGTATGGCATTTTAACTGGTAACCTATTTTGGCAAAGGAAATTTGTTTTTGTGCTAAGCACATTTGTGAGCTTAGCAGCTCCAGGTTGTTGACCCTTGTTCAAAACAATGGCTCCATTAAAAAGGCTCCGCTGTTTACAACAAACAAGCTGGGATTTCCACAAGTCTAGTCAAAAGTTTTGGCACGTCGGAGTTCTGCTTGTGACGGATCACTCAGTACAATTTATGACTGGGTTTCATCATTCAATTCTCTTACCTTCCTAGTTGACTGCAGAAACTTTTGACGGTCGCCATCTCTGATTGGTCGTCTGTATCGACAGGGATTGCAACGTGGAAGTTACCATCTCCAACGTGGCCCACGATGGTACCTATTGGAGTAGGGATAAAAGAGAATTCTGTTTTTAGCCACAAGGCATGGGTGTGATTGATTCTGAGCACTCGAAGAAAGACGCTGACAATGTGACCGTGGTGGAGCACTGGTACATAGGGAACAAATGCAAAGGTGAATGAGTTAGAACTTGTGTTCTCAGGCAAGACACTTTACTTCAATTGCCTCTTTCCACCAAAGTGTATATGACCTAGGTAGAGACCAGATTATGCTGATCTCAAGCTGAGGCAGAAATTTCTAAGAAAAGTTGTCTCATTTCCTGACAAAAAGCGGTAAAAACTGTGATTGTAATCACAGATGTTGACTGAGCATTGTAACAAAGACAAAGTATTTGGAAATTTGTTAGAAAATGAAACAAAAACAACTCACCATAAAGTCCAAAGTTTTTCAGATCATTTTGCGTCTGTACTATTATTTGTGGCAGCATAGAGACTGGTACGCAGACGTCCGTACACAAAGCCTTTCATTGTAAACAAACAAAAAAGTTACATGAGTTTCCATTCCAGATATGCGGGACACCGCATACTGTCGCTGATTTATTGAAGAGACAAATTTGGCATGAAGACCGATATGAAAATGATGTCCTTTTATGAACTTTGACAGCAAAACTGTGACAAGTATAACTCCATCAGTATATACATACGTACCTTACATCCAGGCCTCTCGGCAAGTGATGCATACAGACAGTCATGTCGCGCCTTCCACAGTTTACTCCGATCTTCGGGTCTGTCAGCCCACTGGAAGTCAGACCCATTGTTGGCTTTCACTATTTCCTCTTCAAATCAAAATAGAATACGAAAAAGGAGTTTAAACAAGACTAGGCTCGACTAGTTCAGGGATGTAGTCGAGTAAAACACAAGTCCAGCCATGAGTAAATCACGGAAAGATTTCCATATACGAAGTTCACTAATTTTCCTCTGTATTGACTAACAAGCCCCCAGATAGCAATTTCATGTCATCAAAGTCAATTTGAGCAGTGAGAACATACAAGCATTTTCTTAGAAAACACTTAGAATTTTTCAGTCCAATCTCATAGGGTTTGTACACAGGGTGTTGAGTGAACTTCGTATATGGAAATCTTTCCAAAATCACAAGCAAGAGGATGAATAATAACAAAGGAATGCCCTTGTCAAATTGCATTTGACTAGCTCGTGAGTTAAAATGGGACTGGAGGACTTGCGATGGACTTGCAGGAAACATGTGATGGCCTCGACTACGTCCCTGTTCGAGTCAACTGACCCCAAAAGTCTCTGTTTAGAAATTATTTATACTCAGTGACTCAGTCTGTCAGTGGACAGTAGGTCTGTCATTCAGGTCCGGCAAAAACTCTCTCTCTGAATTCCGCCAAGTATAACAGAGTAGACAAATGAACCAAGTCAACCAACACAATTCTGCAAAGGGAGTCGTTCAATATGCTTCACCTTACCCACGTACTGCACCTGTGATTTGACACTTTCTTCCGAGCCATGAAACTCTAGGAATAGCGTGGGAGCCACTTTGTGGTCCAGGTGACTGTAATGGTTGCAAGCTTCCATCATAGCCTCATCCAAAAACTCTGACAAAAAATGGAGAAAAAAAATAGAACCAATCATGAAAAACACCAATTTATAAAAAAAAAAAAGGCTGAAATTTGCCTACTTGAGAGTCACTTTGTAATAAGTACCAGGCACACTTTTGGTCAGAATAAAAAGGCTAACTCCCAAACCATTCATCCTAACACATCCTCAACAATTCCTAAAATTCTCCAACACGTCTGGGAAGATTTTAGATTTTAAATGGGGCTTGATGCTCCTTGCAGTACATATAATGTGCACTTGGGTTTCTGCTGGATTCAGAAAGGTTATAAGCAAAGAAGCCTCGGGAGTTGGATGATATGTATTACTTTTAGCCAGTTTTATTATTTCAATGAGTATAATCATACAACTGCTAGTTTGCAACATATTCACTGACGACTGGTAGGAAACGATTTTGAATTGTGAATAAATGCAGCAAATACAATGTATTTCACTCGGACTATCACATCAACCCTAGATTGGTACCCAGAATTGAACAAATCAGCCCGGTTGCCAGTCTACCAGGGCCAAACCCTCGCAGCAGCCACGCGGCAATAAAATTCTCCACATTTTCCAAATAAGGGCATAATTTTTTTCAATGGGCCAATCAGGCCAAGCTTCCATGTAATCCTCACCCCTTCTATAAACCACAAGCCTGTAGACTCTCATTGGCCAGACCTTAGCCAGTAAAAAAAGGAGTAAACAAGTCAGGTGTGTTTACAAACACAAATGCCCCGCAACCGTGACTGTTTCCATGACATAACACCACTCTAACATCAACTTACATGTACCTTGGTCAAATGGAACGTTCATTGACAGCATTAGTGTCTTCTGTAGGTTTTATATGAATTAATCCCTAATCCCTATGATCTCAGAATAAATACAAGATTTCTATTGTTTTAGCCACTGTGACCTTGACCCTTGACCTTTCGACCCCCAATGCGATAGGCTTCTTAGGATTGCCAAGGACAATCCACAAACCAAATTTGAAATTCATATGTAAAGTATATCTCAAGTTATCACGCTGACAAAATTTCTTTTGTTTTTGCCACTGTGACCTTGACCCTTGACCTTTTGGCCCCAAATGCAAAAGGCTTCTTAGGATTGCCAAGGACAATCCACAAACCAAATTTGAAGTTCATATGTAAAGTATTTCTCAAGTTATCGCGCTGACAAAATTTCTATTGTTTCAGCCACTGTGACCTTGACCCTTGACCTTTCGGCCCCAAATGCAATAGGCTTCTTAGGATTACCAAGAACAATATACAAACCAAATTTGAAGTTCATATGTAAAGTATTTCTCAAGTTATCGCGCTGACAAAATTTCTTTTGTTTTAGTCACTGTGACCTTGACCCTTGACCTTTTGGCCCCAAATGCAAAAGGCTTCTTAGAATTGCCAAGGACAATCCACAAACCAAATTTGAAGTTCATATGTAAAGTATTTCTCAAGTTATCGGGCTGACAAAATTTCTATTGTTTCAGCCACTGTGACCTTGACCCTTGACCTTTTGGCCCCAAATGCAAAAGGCTTCTTAGAATTGCCAAGGACAATCCACAAACCAAATTTGAAGTTCATATGTAAAGTATTTCTCAAGTTATCGCGCTGACAAAATTTCTATTGTTTCAGCCACTGTGACCTTGACCCTTGACCTTTCGGCCCCAAATGCAAAAGGCTTCTTAGGATTACCAAGGACAATCCACAAACCAAATTTGAAGTTCATATGTAAAGTATTTCTCAAGTTATCGCGCTGACAAGATTTGTCCGGACACACACACCCACACACACACCCACACACCCACCCACCCACCCACCCACCCACGGAAGGACAAGGCGGAAACAGTATGCCCCTTCGGCTTCGCCGCGGGGCATAAAAAAGGAGTTAAAAAAGGAGTGTTGAAAGACAGAAGCCAAGATGGCGGCTAATGCCTTTGTGCAGTAATGGGAGATCTTAGTGGCCAACCCCTTTGTGCCGCCGATCCCTTTGTGTCAACCCCTCGTGCCGCCCAGAGCTCAGACAGGTTGTAAACAATCCCTGGCCATGTGAATGACCTATATCTTGTGCATGTACAGGCATGCCAGGGTTATTGACCCATAAGCACATGTGGTGCTAAAATTCTCCACTTGGGTCCACCGCGTAATTTTTTTGGGCTTGATCCACGAAGGGTAACCAGTCAAAAGAGCCCTCTTTGATAATTATATGAGAGGATTACAATGTTGGTTGTTTACCAATGCGAGCAATTGGTACCCCGTACTGCATGACCTGGGTGACTGAGTCGACGGCCTCTTGGACAGAGTCAAAGGAACACACAGCGGCTAAGGTCTGAAGAAAAGCCAGAAAATAAAAACGATTAATAAAAATAGTTTGATCTAGACAGGCAGCAACTGCAGGCGCAGTCGGTGTGTGATGAGCTCTGGGCTAAATATATCATGCAGCTTCTAGATCTAAAGCAAAAGAAAATCTTGGTAAGCAAATGGATGTGCTAAGCCCATATCAGCAGCGAACCAGTCACATGCAATGTAAATTGTGGGGCATTTTGGCTGGTAACCTATGTTTACTAAGCAAAATCTTTTGGTGCCTTGCAAATTTTTGTGCTGAGAAGTGTGCCTTTAATTATGTGGGGGAAGGGTACTTTATTTAGGGGGTTGTTTCCGCCCCCCCCCCCCCCCCCCCCCCCCTCCCCCCGGCATTTTAAATTATGCCATTATCCGCCTTGGACCAAGTGCAGTGATTAACACACATTGCACTACCCCGAAAACCCTTTACTTATTGAAAACCAGAGAGATCGTCCTAATGCAGAATGACAACTACAGTGGATATCTCACTTACAGCTTCAGGTATCCCATGAAGCCTCAGTGTTGCCTTAGTGATGATGCCCAGCGTGCCCTCTGACCCAACAAACAGGTTTGTCAGGTTATACCCAGCAGCAGTTTTCCTGAAAAGCCCAAAAGCCAATATTTCAGTACAAGTGGTCTCACATAGTGTTGTGCAAACCTGACCCAAAACCGACCCGACCCGAAACTGACTTCGGGTCGAGTCGGGTCGGGTCGGTTCGCCCATCATTTCAGTAGGGTCGGGTCGGTTTCGGTTTTGCGTTTGTGGTTTTCAGGTCAGGTCGGGTCGGTTAAGCCATTTTGAAAAAACCTGAAATAAACCGAAATAAACCAAAACAAAAACGAACCAGTTGGGATATTCACACAGATGCAATATTTACTGCAGAGTCACTGTGCCCAGTGTGACCAAATGTGGTTCGCCGTCTGTCACGCACTGTCTATAACATGTAGGCCCACCAGTAGGTCACGTTGTGAGTACTGTCCGATATGATTCAGTTACTGAGAGATGATTTTCGCACAACACGGTTAAGTTCAGGCACAAAAAGCAGACACAATTTCCCAAGCCAGATTTTCAGGGTTTTTATGGGTCGGTTCGATTTCGGGTCGGTTCGGGTTTCCTTGAATTTTTGTCGGATCGGGTCGGTTTTAGGAGTTCAAATCGGTTTCGGTTCGGATTTGGTTTATATCTATGTTTCGGGTTGGTTTGTCCTAGTCATCAACCTGACCAGATGCACAACGCTAGTCTCACAGTAAATCAGGGATGTAGGGGAGTCCATCACAAGTCCCTGCAAGTCCATCACAAGTCCTCCAGTCCCAATTCAAGTCACAAGCTATTCAAATGAGCTTTGACAAAGGCATTCCTTTGTTATTGTTCATCCGCTGTAACTTGCGACTGGGCTTGTGACTGGATTCATGATTCAACTGTGACTGGACTTGTGATAGACTTGTGATGGACCGGACTACATCCCTGAAGTAAATCATAGTTGAAAAATGTCAGATTTTCATGATCACGTATGCCATAAAATCAGTAAAACATTTCATACTTGGCCCTTTTGTCTTTGCCGGCAGAGTGTACGACAGTACCATCAGCCAACACTACTTCAAGATTCAACACGTTTTCTCTCATTGTACCGTAGCGAACGGCATTGGTACCCGACGCACTGGTAGCCGCCATGCCACACAGCGAGGCATTAGCGCCAGGATCTACAGTTATTATTAGGAGAGAGGAAGAAAGAGTTTGGGAAGCACTGTCAGCTTGGACAAAATAAGGCCATGTCCAAAACCAATGGCTATGGATATCCACTGCAGGAAGTCAATGATACATTCTGAAGCCACAGCCACAAAACAGCCGATTTGGACACAGCCTCAAACTTCAGAGAAACTTGTCCAGAGATACCAATGCACAGCAATCACGTTCAGAACATGTTATCTAATTAGCCCCACAATCTAATCAGTAATCCATTAGTACTACCTGTACCACCCCCGGAACCGCCCCAGCACTATACGGATTGTATGAATTCATCAGGGAATGTTAAAAGTACCCATGGCTTAAAACAACCAGCCAACTCGCCAACTAGTGAGTCAACCAGTCAATCCAAGTTCCAGTCGGCCAGCTAACCAACTAACACCAGTAAGCCCAACATTGGTGTCAGAGAGGTTAGTGTGCGGGAGGGGGGTGAGGCTGTGCCAGGGGTGGAAGGGCACTCACAATTGAAAAAATTGCCTTATTTGAGACAATTTCTGTCACTGCCCGGGGAGGGGGGGGGGGGGGGGGGCGTCACCCCTCCGCACCCCCTAGATCTGCCAGTAAGCCTACCAACAACCAACAAGCCAACAAACAAGTTACCCAGTCAACCAACCATGTGTAGCCATGAGTGGTCGGACAGTCTATCAGCCAGCAGGCCGCCCAACATGCCAATCACCCTACCTTACCTATAGGAAACCACAGACCAGCATCCCTCAGGTGGTTGTTGAGATCCTGCCTCGTAACCCCAGGCTCAACAGTCACGTCAAAGTCCTCGCTATGCAAGGATAAGATCTGGTCAATGTGGCTCAGGTCGATGCAAACTGATCCCTGGGTTGGAGGAGAGATCCATATCAGAAAGTAATTTTGCCAGAGTTTTAATCAAGTTGGTCACGAGTCAAACACAAGCCTTCAGTCTCGTGCCAAATGGCAAGCTATTTAAATGCACTGTGACAAACGGCATTCCTATGTCATTCCTATCCCCTGTTACTTGTGACTTGACATTAAAACTGATTTGTGATTTACAATTTTGACTCTGGCTTCATTGTGGTTACTACTACTCCTGCTGCTGCACTTGACCATCAACGGGTCATAGTGACCTCCAACCTCCCTGGTCAAGGGCAAGGGACCAGCACTCGATTGGTGACAGCTGCACAGCATCCGCAACCTGCTTAAGCCAGGTAAGCCGGGGACGACCACGAGGCCTTGTCCAGGTGGCAAGCCATTGCCCAAGGTCAACTGGACGACATTATCTGGGGCAAGACAAGCAGGGGCAGGAGCTTGGAGGCGCCCAACATGACCAAAAAGGGTGTGTCGCCTCCCTGAGATCTCAGACGAAATGCTACCAAGCCCCGTACGCTGCTGGATGATTGCACTGGAAATGAAGTCGAACCATTGGATTCCAAGTATGCGAAGCTGACACTGCACGTGGAAAGCTTGAATGCGTTGTAGTTCTTTCCTGTGGTTCCTGCTGTTATATCAAATTTGAACTGGCCAGCCGACCCAAGGTTGTACATAGGACGTCTGCACTAGTAAGTAGGAGGTCCTAGGTTCAAGTCCCAAAAGGTTTAAAGCTTGTCATTTTCTCACAAAGTCTTGCAAGGCATTGAGAATGGATTGCTTAACAAAATGTTTCCAGTGATGGGCAAAACCAATATTAAAATTTAAATAATCTGAAAGCACAATAAATGAACTATGACTACGTATGTTGTTAAGACTAGCAACACTGACCCATGTACACTAACCTTTGACCCTGTGACCCCTCCTTCTAGCCCTGTGCCAGTGCCGAAGGGCACCATGGGTAACTTATGCTGGCTGCAGATCTTGGCTATTTCTGAAACCTCTTGGGTGTTCTTTGGGTAAACCACGACGTCTGGAAGAAATGTCCTGCACAAATAAAGCAAATTATAAAGTCAAAAGTAAAGTCTATTTTCCCCTGGATGGGATGCCAGTCCATTGTGATGGTCTTGTGATGGACTTGTGATGGACTTGTGATGGACTTGTGATGGACTTGTGATGACGTGTGATGGTCTTGTGATGGGTTTGTGATGGAATTGTGATGGACTTGTGATGACTTTGAGATGGACTTGTTATGGACTTGTGATGGACTTGTGATGGACTTGTGATGGACTTGTGATGACTTGTGATGGTCTTGTGATGGGTTTGTGATGGAGTTGTGATGGACTTGTGATGACTTTGTGATGGACTTGTAATGGACTTGTGATGGACTTGTGATGACTTGTGATGGTCTTGTGATGGACTTGTGATGGAGTTGTGATGGACTTGTGATGACTTTGAGATGGACTTGTCATGGACTTGTGATGGACTTGTGATGGACTTGTGATGGACTTGTGATGACTTGTGATGGTCTTGTGATGGACTTGTGATGGAGTTGTGATGGACTTGTGATGACTTTGAGATGGACTTGTCATGGACTTGTCATGGACTTGTGATGGACTTGTCATGGACTTGTGATGGACTTGTGATGGACTTGTGATGACTTGTGATGGTCTTGTGATGGACTTGTGATGGAGTTGTGATGGACTTGTGATGACTTTGAGATGGACTTGTCATGGACTTGTCATGGACTTGTCATGGACTTGTGATGGTCTTGTGATGGGCTTGTGATGGGCTTGTGATGGGCTTGTGATGGACTTATGATGGGCTTGTGATGGACTCAACTACAACACTGCTTGACCCTCTATGAAACCTTCGGGGACTACATCAGACGATGAATCTACTTTCTCACCGATGGTAGGACTCATCGTGCGAATGCTGCTCACAGACTGCTTCAGCTGATGAGACGCTTTTATCCCCAAGAGTTGTTTGAAGAGCCTTCAGAGCTGAGGCTGGCACTGACTGAAGATAAAAAGACCAACATCAAAAGTGACAACCCTGCAAGGATGTGTATGCAGGTCCAGAAAGGTTACTGCTATGAAAAACAGCCTCTTTGTGAGAATTTCGGTCACTGACTGGGGAGGGGGAAAAAGGGGGGGGGGGGCGCATCCTGCGCACCCCCTGGTTCTGCCCCCGCCCTGGCCCCGCTTCACCATGAAAAGAAAACACAGTCTGAACTTTTCCAAAATAGTAAACTCTGTACTGATTTTGAACAAATAGTTCCGAATCATATTTTCCACACCAAAATGTACTGTGGCTTTAACACTAAAATGGGTAACGAGATAGACCTCCCCCCCCCCAATCTCCCACTCCACCTCATAAACCCCTCCCTACTATAGGCAACTCCCCTTATGTGCTTTAACCACTCACCTGGTGAACGGCGGAAGATGTTGCCAAGAACTGCCGACATCTTGGCACAGATGCTGGAGTAAACGTCGGTCTGCTGCCACTCTCAGTCAGAACTCTGGAGGCGATGAGGCAAATACTCTTGAGAAGTTTAGACGGAGCCATTGTGGCTATGGATTAAAACATTAACGTATAGGATTAGTTTGGACATGATGTGGATAACATAGAAATGTTATTGTTTAATTACGCCTACCATAATTCGGAACTTTTTCTTTGAAAAAAGTTTTGTATTTTGGGATAGTGTTATTATTATTTTTTTATATATATATATTAAGGATAGGAAAAACATAAATGAAGTTGACAAAAAATTATACCAAGAATCGTTGAAAACCAGTTATGATTGTTTCAAATTAACCTTTGAATTTCCTTTGTTCGCATGTTCTGTGCCGTGCTGGTAATGGAGCTACTTAAACAAAAAATCGGGGACTGGTTCACAGTCAAATACACACACACACATATTAGACAGTTACACTGCCTTTCAACAGCTCAAACAATGAGTCAATGACACAGTGTTGTAATCGTAGTCCAGTCTATCACAAGTCCTTGCAAGTCCATCACAAGTCCATCACAAGTTTTTTAGTATTCAAATGAACTGTTAAAAAAGCATTCATTTTATTATTGTTCATCCTGTCTCTCGTGACTGGACTTATGAAAGGACTTGTGAAACTCAAACATGTCAAAAGACATGTGAAAGCACTTGCTCTATGATGAAAGTATGTGTGAAACTGATTAGGCCCCTACTAAAAAGTGAAAGGACTTATCAAGTTATGAATGGACTCGACAACAAGATTGGTCAACGAATCACAACTTAAATGCGACAGTACACTAAATGTTTTTGTAACATTGTACTAGGAAAGAATGTTGCAACCAGGCGCTGCTTTTTCTTCATAAAGTCAGTCATTGCAAATATGATAAGACATGAATCTGGGACTGAGAAACATTTCCAATTTTGTTGTAAGGAAATACTCAGAAAATTTTCTTGACTCTCCATAGACTTAGACTTTGTACACAACAGCTGAAGTGGCGTCAGGTTGCAACATTCTTTCCACATTATATTTACGTGTGTCAAAACAGGATAAATTGTCTGTTATACATAAATTAATTCTCTACACACACAAATAACAATTCTAACCTCAGTTCTTCACCAAACCCTCATCAATCAGCTAGCCCGAGTGTTTACCTTTTATAGCGCCCTCTGTTGACTACATTTGCAACATTCTTACGTCACATCGTAAACAAGGAAGTGAAATCTGAAAATCTTTTAGTTCTACTCGGCACTGCTCGGGGAGTGACGACGGGCTCTCTGATTTTTGCAGTAATTTTTCAGAAAAGAAAAACGATCCGACGTCGAAATGGCAGATATGAAGAGTGAATGGGCCATGTGGGCCAACGAACACGGCTTCGTGAGTGGAATTGGTAAGAAAACACGAACAATCTACGGATGGTCCACTTTCCGGACACTTCTTTTCTTGCCTTGCTATTTGCTCTGACTGAGTGACCGTGCATGTGACACCGATTAATCTTCCAAGTTCCATCCATTCCTAAATAATTGTGTCTATTCATCAAACTGTTGGCATCCTTACTATCAAAAAGTCCTATCAAAATGAGCAGTGTTGAGGATAATTTTTATTCTTTTATTCCATGAAAAATGTATGTTTCAATTGTTCTTTCTTTTTAATTTTCTGCCCCCCCCCCCCAGTTTTAGGTTTTATTAACTAATCTTTTCATTTTGTACAGTGATGCTGATGGGAGGCATAACTGGCGTCTTTGGATTTGATGGATATGAGTTTGCAGCATACACCATGTATCCTTATTGATTTAGCATTAACTACTATCGTTAAGAACTGCTAGAGACATCCAGAATCTTTTTACAATTTCTTTTCAAAGGGAAAAATTTCCGTACTGGGCCACCTCTTTTTTCAATTAATTTTCAAGCGCCAACAGTTGCATCCTTTATGGTTATTCCCTCCACTTTCCCTCCTCTACTCTCATCCTTTCCTTTCCTTTATTCCTATTTATTAATGGTATTGGTAGTGGATATTTTGCCGGAGGTAACGCCGGCAAACTAATGTTTACTAAAGGTTTGCCGGCGACAATCCATATCAACAGAGGGCGCTGTACTCTTTAAGATAGGGCTGAATTATAACATGTAATAAATTCCCACCCAAGTTGTGTAGCACGGTCGGTGCAGTGGTTAAGCAATGGCTCTAGTGTGTGGGATGTCCAGAGTTCGAATCCTGATCCCCGCCACAATTTTAAGGGTTTTTTTTCCCATCCCCAAATAAATAAGAATATTCTTCTTTTATTATTTTAAAATGTCTCAAAACATTTTATTGCAGAGTATTGCTTTTTCTTTTTCAGAGTTGTGGCTCTGGAGGATTTTTTTTAAAGGGAAATAAAGTCCGAAATTATAAAATGGTCTGATTCCCATCTTGTAAATACAAAAATACAACGATAATATTGGCATGGAGCCAGACTAAAATTTGTCACCGGAAAATGTTTAAGTACCAAAAAACAGTAACTGCGCATGTTCAGTGCATATCCGGCAAACTAACGTTTACTAAAGGTTTGCCGTCTCCGGCAAAATATACACTGCCTTTTTTCTTCAAGGACTTGTGTAGTGGTTATGCCTGACAAGGTTTGGGTGAGTCCCAAGGGGAACTAGTGAGTCACAGGGACAAAATGGCACATTTTGCAATTCAATTTTTAGAGATGCTAGTCCATGTTGAAAGTTTCCTCTAGCCCTATTACAACAACCTAATGATAAAATATAGGGCTGAGGTAACTCCAGCTACAGTCGATGTACATTTGTCAGTTTCAGATAAATAGAATGATTTTATTAATTTGATATTGTTGATGTACCCTAACGTGGCGCGGCCCCCAACGTGGCGCACTTTGATTTTTCGCCTGTAGCGCCTAGCTAGAGCAAAAGTTTTAACTGAAATTTCACAGAAAGGGAAATTTCATCAAGTTCTTAACACTCCCGTTCATAAATCGCGAGTTTATCTACCCATTACAAAGTTAGAAGAAAAAATCATTTTGACATGTTTTTCCAATTTTATGTGCAAAGTGTAAAGTGAACCCTTTGAAAATGCCCCGAAAAATAAGAAAAAAAAATTCTGACAAACTTTTGGTTGGGTATGTACATTTGTAAGTAGAGATAATAATGGTTTATCAGAATCTATCAACTTTACAGGAATTCTTAAATGTCAATTTTGAATTTTCCGAGATTTATTCAATTGCGCCACGTTAGGGACCACTCCGCCAATTTGTGCCCAATTTCCAGACGCCACCGTTTTTGAATTTCGGATTAAATTTCATGAAACCGAAATTGTTCACAGAGGTTAAATAGCAAGCATTAATAAGGTCAAAGTACCAGAATTTCACTGCATGAATTTGAGGTTTGTCACCAAAGCAGTTTGGCAACACTACACAAGAAAAGTCGGGTAAACGTTGAAGTGCGCCACATTAGGGAACACAACCATACCATGTTTACCTTGACTGAATTAATCAGTGCTGCTGGCGCCTTCATTACGTTGTTGGAGTATCCTCGGAGCCAACGGAGGAAGGGATCTCTTGTAGCCAGAAGGTACAAATTCTCAACAAATATCGGTCCACGTATATGGCTTGATTTTTCATTTTTCTTTCAAACACCTTGAACATCATCATAGCCAAATTCGGATTTCATAGAATACTGATTTTCTAGCTTGCAAAATTCCAGTTGAGAACTTTTCAAAAGTTGTTATATGCTTTTAAATGTTTTTGTGATTTTAAAAGCATTTCTCAAAATTAGTCTACTTCCCTGTTAAATTCTTGGCCTCGCTTTTGTCAGCAATATTCATTGAAAATTATTTCTGTAAAATGTTGATATTGTTCTTTATTTTGTGATAGGTTTCAGCATATACTGCATCCCATCATGAACCTAGGTGGACCAATCACCAAAAACTACTACATTCGTTTTGTCCTGTATTTGCTGTAAGTTACCTTTTACTGATTTCCGTATCCATATCTGCAGAAGCATCCCAGGGGAAACATCGCACCAACTACATGTAGTTGTGCATTTTATGTGGGACTATGTCAGCTTTTATCATAACTTGTTTCAATACTTTTAAATTGGTAGTGATACTTTCGGCAAATGTCTTTATGCTAAATTGCCTACATGACAGAATCGAGAGAGAGTTTTGATAAAACAAAAAAAGCCCAACTAGTATTTTGGAAAGTAAACAAAGTGGATTTTTAAATTGATGTACCTCAAGGAAAAACGAAGATTTTTATTTGCACATTTTTGAGAAAATTTGTAAAGCCTTTGACAAAGGTATACGAAATGGAGGTCTGGAACCATTGTTTTCTCATTCACATTTCACAGCATGTCGGTACCCAGCATCTTCACCCTGCCCACAGTGCTCGGCGGTGCGTCTCTCTTCATCGCCGGTCTCATTTATTTCAAGGCCGCCCTCGGGGGTGAGGGCTGGCACGTGGACAGCATGGCGCTGGCTCGTCAGAAGACGCTGACTAACCGTCCCCCTGCTAATCCCCCGCCCCGTCCCCCACCCCAGGGTGCTGCCAAACCTGATGATAACTTCACCGAGATCCCCCTGGGTAATGTCAGTGGGCAGTAAATATATTGTAATGTCAGAGTGACAAGAATTGATCAACAATACTCTTTGCTCACTAAACGGTGATTTTTGTTCGTGGAATTTTGGATCTTGGAACTTGCTGTTTAGTATTTATCAGGTATTTAGGCCAAAAAAATTGTTCTGCTTCCGGTTTCCCTACCTACCCTATTCTGACAGCCCCTACCCTAATTTTTTTATTGGAAAAATGAGGAAAAGAACACCTAAAACCAACAATTACTACCTTTTACCCTTGACTACATGCAGACACCTCCATATGATCGTACACACAAAAAATTGCCCCCCCCCCCAAAAAAAAATCCCTATTTTCAAATGCCATGTAATTGGAAGCAGAACTATTTTAATTATTTTGGGCCTAAACTTCAATGATAAAATGATGAAAAAGGAAAGTAAAATAAAATGAAACATTAGTTAGATGATGTAAACTACACATTCCATTTTTAGATTTTTAAAATTCACCAGCATTACCATTGTACAATTGGAATTTATTATTTTTATATGGTTGTACACTTTATTGCAATCTCCAGCCAATAGTAATGTTTACATATATATTTTTGTACGCTCAGCAATTTCTTTAATATTTGCAGTTAGGTACTAGGTAAATGCTAATGTGAAATTTTGAGATTTTGAAATAATTGTAATGATAAAATGCAATAACTTTTTAACTTTCTTTTAGTTAAATAATTAGGAAGAATTTCAATTACATGATGTACTTTTAATAACTAACATGAAATGCATTGCACCAATAGTTTTTAACTAAATGTTAACCCACAAAATACAATGTAGTACTTTTACAAATTTGTAATGATTTTTATTTTGTTTCAGTTATGAATTTATGGTGACAATGCACTTTCTGTTCATAGTTTGTTTATGTTGTGTTCGAAGGAAGCTGGTTTTCCTGGAGAAGATGTTTGGTTGGTTTCTGTGTTGAGTAGGTTTTGCAAATCATTTCCTGTATTAATGCTTTTACATGTAGTTTAAAAATGCAATCGAACCCACCAGTAATTCTATCTCGTAGGAAAAACTTTCGAATCGGGCCGGGCGGCAGTTAGGGTGAAAAACAACCAACAGTTCAGGGAAATGTCTTTGTTAAACTTGTGGGGTTTTTATCTTTACGAATGGGGGGGGGGGGGGGGGGGGGAAGAGACCAAAGATCTCATTCACAACATAATACATCGAGGATTTTTGTACCCCCAGCCCTGCAAAATCTGTTACCATGTCATAATCTTCCCCACGTCAAATTTATGTGGGTGCATTTCTGAAGCTGTTGCCTTAATAAAGACTGTGCACACTAACTTGTTCCCTTGGTGTTCATATTGAAAGTGTTTGTCTCACGCCCTCTAGTGGTTTGGTAAGGGAACGGCAGGCAGTGGCTGCAAATCCTGATGAACAGAATGTTACAATTTTGATCTTCCACATTGCACAGGGTGTCCCAAACAAGCAGATATCCTCTGATTTCTCAAAAACTACTTAACATGAGTATTTCATCTTAATGGAGCATATTAATTATACTCTTGTGTATATTCAGTAAAAATGCCATGGAAATCTGTTCATGCAAACCAGAGATCTAACACATTATAAAAAGCTATGGGGTTTTCACCCATTCCAACGGAATGGGATTTACACAGTTAACAGTTGTAACATCAGAGTGAAAAGGCCCATGACAATCTGGTACGCACTGATATCACTAATAAATTCCTTTCGAATGGGTGAAAAACCCCATATAACCTTTTTACAGTCTACGGAACTCTGGTTTGCATGAACGGATTTCCATTAGATTTTCACTGATTATACACAGGAGTATTCAAGATGAAATACTCATGTTCAGTAGTTTTGAGAAATTAAAGGATATCTGCTTCCACAACTTTTTGGGGACTCCTGTATTGAGAGACCCTCGGATAGACAGTATTGTGCGCCGTGTATTTTCAAAGATTAGTTTTCCTTTTAAAAAGAGATGCAGTGCTGCGTATTCATTGTGTCAACCCCACTAGCCCAACCACGCCCCGGCCACGCCGAGCCATGCCCATCCCCAACCCTGATGTCTCGCAAAACTCCTTGATGATAAGTTATCAAAGCCCTTATAAAAACGCGTGCACCAGCTTTGACGTAACAACACGAATAAACGCAGTGGAGTATTATTTCACTTTCTTAATTCTTTGTCCAAAACTTTATTAAATTGTCCACTCAAAAGTTTATTACAAAGTACTTTTTTATGTCGGTGAAAGATTATACAAAAAAAGTTGTTTATAAAAAAACAGATTTGGTCGGACACATCAATCTGTACACACGTCAAATTCTTGTGAGAAAACACCATTGCATAGTTTGGTTTCTAAAGCTATAATACGAAAAGGCTAAAAACGGTGGAAAATTCTTATACAAAATTGCGATGTCTGTTTAGAAAAAAACATTCTGTGAAAGTGTGTATAAATACAGAAGATGACTATTTACAATAAATTAAACATTATTTCTTTCACTTCAAATGTCACGCCTATAAAATAATGACACAAAGTGCTGATCGTAAATTGCATAGTTGGTCTGAAAGTTTTTCCAAGTATCTCTACGATTTTACGAGTCCAGTCAGCTCGGCTCTGGTACCGAATTGTTCAAATAAACCTCTTCTCTGTGTCAAGTATAGTCAACACTCACAATTTATGCTCCAAGCAGTTGGGTTTTGAGATCGCGGTTAATCCTTTGAAGTTGAGCATTGCATCTGGCCGACATTGCATTTACTGGACATAAACACGCGGGAGTGAAAGCCAAATGTCAAAAGTCGATGCCATTTGCGTAAGTCTGATTATTATATTAATGAAAAAGGTTTTGTTTATGCTGGACAAGGATTTTTTTTTTACTGGTCCAAGATGACCAGACCTTTGTGCAAGTTTCATAAACTGGCTAACCGACTCTCTGACTTGCGGACCGTCACATGTGAGCTGGGCAGTGCTATTGTATAGGATTTCCCGGTGTAGCACCAATGGGTGGGCTACATCCGGCCCAGTATGTGGACCACATTATGTAGGAAAATACTTCAGAGAATCGCCATTCTGAATCAACTGAGTACAGAAAGTGGTGCTTTCCGGGGCCATCTTAAAATAGGCACGAGTTTACTGGGCGGGACTCGAACCAACGACCTGCTTTTTAGTGTAGACACCTTAAGCATTAAATACTGCACAACTGATCCTAATATTATTTGACAATATAACTACTTAATGCGCATGTATTGGGGGAACTTTGAAACGTGATCTAATTATCGCCCTTCAAAACTTGATGTCGTCTGGATTTTGTTAATTGACACAATTTTGTATGGAATCGTCCCTTTGAAAAAATATGTTCAGAAGACACAATATCCTAAAAATTCGACATCAGTCACGAGACATTTTCATAAAATGTTAAAGCAGCAGTCACTGGTTTTCAACAGCTGCAATATATAATTGAGGGGAACATTTGACAGCTTGTGTTTTTGTTGGCAATTTTATAGAAAAATGATACATGTAATGATGTATATTGAAAAAAAAACTCAATCTTTAATATCATGAATACAATGTTCCAGGTCGTCAGGCAGTGATACGTGTAAGAAAATTTGTAACAAGGCACTGACGTGAACGCTTAATATAGCTAAAAAATTCAAAAATTAGAATTCCAATCCCCTTGAATACAAGGTTCCATATATTCAACTGGACAACAGTCCGGCTTAAATTGACACTCACATTGATCAATAATCAATAATTTAAAATCAACTGAAAACAGACACAAACACAGCTTAAATTGGCACTCTCGTCCATCCATTTTTAAATCAATAACTTAAAATCAACTGAATTCTTAAAGGAAACGACTGCAACTTTAAATGCTCTAATTCCGAACGTCCCTGATACACGCTGCCTCCACGTGCTTATAGAGGTAGCTCTTGAGAGCAAAAGCCTTGTTGCACTTGTTACAGACGTAAGGCTTGACGTTGGAGTGAGTCTGGACGTGCGCTCGCAGGTTGGACTTGTCCGCGAAGGCCTTGCCGCACTTGGGGCAGGTGAAGGGTTTCTCCCCCGTGTGGGTCCGGATGTGGCCCTGGAGCAGCCACGGTCGACTGAAACACTTGCCGCAGAGGTTGCACTTGCAGCCCAACTTGTGGGTTCTGTATATAGAAGAGGAAAGATAAAAGAGACATTTAATATTATATGATTGATCTGAGAACTTCGTGAAGTTTAGAAGTTTGGGGGTTATAGATAATAGCCTTTTCAGAAGTGGCGGACACAGGGGGCGCTGTTTGATTTGGCAAAAGTTTGGGCCAAGTTCGGGCAAGGACCATTAGTCGACTAGTGGTTGATTTGTGACGTATTTTACGCCTGCGCACTAATAGCAACATGCAAACGTCTCTAGTCAAACGCTGGTGATAATGTCACTCATCGCAAAACTTCTGGATCCCTGCTGTACATGATGAATTCGCGCGGCTATTGGTTACCAGCGATGCAACCAGCCCCAGAAGGTTGGTTCCAAATACTCGACTAGCGTTCGGGCTAACTTTAGTCGAACTATGGTTAACCAATGAATGGTCAACAATAGTTCTTGCGCGAACTTGCCCATGGTAGACAACAAGTTTAGACAAACCAAATAGCGCCCTCCTATTGTATCCACCATACCTCAAGAGGATAGTGTTTCAGGCAACATCTCAGGGCATTATTATTGGGAGGATAAGCGTTGTCTTCTTTACATTTTGAATCGAAACTTCAAACACAGATTTAAGAATTGAAAGAGTTATGATCAAGTGTTGACGTTTTGAGGCTAAACGGTAAGGGTTTACAGCAAAAACATTATCTACACAGGCTAGGAAATTTTCATGCTCGAGTTCAACTTCACAAGAAGAGGGTATTATAGTTACATCTTTAAACGAGTACAACGCCCTCTTGTGTTTTTCGCAAGGAATGTCAATTAATTTACCTGATATGCATGCTGAGTGCTGGCATTGACACGTACACCTTGTCACAGTGGGGGCACTTCCTCGCCTTCTGATCGTTGACACTGCGGTGTGTCTGTCGATGCCTGGCCAAGTTACTGGAGGTACTGTACCCCTTCCCGCACTCTGGGCATACATGGCTGCTTGCAGTCAGCACGGAGAGTTCACGAGGAGAATCCGGCCGAAGGTTGAGCACATCAGAGAGGTCTGTCTTGGAGTCCGGAGGAGTTGACACGAAGACGTTCCGGAGGACCGTCATCTGAGGCTGGTTGTCGGGGGAAGAGCGGCCGATGTCCGGTTGGGTAGCCTCATCAGCAGACGTCGGTGATGTCTGACCAGCTTGGACGCAGGTGGCAGTGGCGGTCGCTGCCACCAATCCATAGCTCTGTTGCGACAGCGGGCCATTCATCGACAGATTCAAAACTGATGTGTCGATGTACAGCTGGGAGTTGTCGGCGAAGCTTGTCGAAGTTGTCGATGTGGAGTACTTGCTCCTGTCATCACGCACGATGATGTCGTTGCGTTTGATGACAAACTGTTTGTAAGCATCGTTCTTCTCGGTTGAAACGCGGCGTCCCACGGGCCGACCGGAGCGGCTGATGTACTGCTTTCCCGCCGGTGTCGAGGCGAGATTCTCCCCCGCTGATATCTCCTCCAATGGATTGCTCCCCACTGCACCTCTGGGCCCCTTCTTACCTCCTTTGCTCCTATGTTTCTTGGGTGTCGTCTTCTTGATGGTCTCGTACGGGTTGGTGGTCGTGTGGAAGTGAAGTGGCTTGATGATGCGATGCGTGGTAGGCAAGGCGGCGCTGACTGTCTGTCCTTTGGTCGGTGTTGTAGGGATGCGTAAACAACTGGGGCTGAATGGTCCGTAATCTGAAATAATGACACCAAAAATACAACATTTTAAATACAAATTCAGTCATTTCAACCGCGGAAAAATTCTGCCAGGCTATGTTTAGAAAGGCGTCCCATTTTTGTCAACAAATCATACATTTCTTGTGAGGCACATATATACAAGACCCCTCGTCATATTCTCGTATAGTCCCATAATCCTACTTGGACCCAAAGAATTTTGATATTTTTTTACAACGTTTCTTCTCAACATTTAACAAAATAATATCTCTCGAATATTCTAATCCTTTCTGCACTTTTAGAAAGGGAACATTTCTAACATTATAACTAATAAATTAGTTAAATTGTACCTAGCTGGTTCCGATGCAATGATCACAATCACTTTTGAATTTTGTTTCAACTGAAACCACTCATTGGTTTGTTTTGGTTTTTCGTTCATTCGTTCATTTTTTGTGTGCTTTTTAACTCTTAAGGAGGATTTTTTTCAATTCTTTCAATTTCTTGTATTAGATTTCCAACCGGTGTGTACATTTTGGCGCCATTTCGTGCAGTACCAGCTGGGCACGTGTGGGTGCTTCCATATTAGGTCATGTTCGCGTGTCACAATTATACCACACACTGCTCTACACGCGCTTGCTTTATCAACTGCGGAGTACCAGTGGCTGTCGGCTGATCCCGCTGGTATCATGCTATATGTCACCTGTTATCACTTGTCATGCCAACGTGGTTGCTCAAACCTCACCACAGGTGTTCGGCAACCAGTTGCAAACTTCCCACTGTTTCCTAATAAAGCCCCATTGCATGATTAGGTGTAAGGGAAAAAGAAAACTTGTTTTGGCAAAAACGCTTTAAGTTTGTTGTTTCTCACCTAAGCAGTCGTGGTCAGAAACAAACATACCAATTGACGCAATGAGCAACCATTTTCTTCCTTTTTTTCTGGGGGCCACATTTTTGTTTATGTTGAATTATTCATGATTCATACTTGCATATTCATCTTTGCCTGGTTTCCGGCACCGTTGATTGTGTTATCACAGTAAGCCGTGGGGACCAATTCCGGAAATCAATTGCAGCAATTATTACATATAACCTTGGGGCAAGGAGTTAAGGTCAGGGCCTATATACTCTAGTGCCTATCCTGAACCCCTAATGTGGGCTGGTGGGTTAACTTGCCTGGGAAACCGATCAAAACTGGGCAATCCCCCAACCCCGCAATTTCAATGGAACGAACAGGGGAACAGACAACTGCTCATGCGATGAAATTAAATGGATACTTATAAGTAAACCGCTGCGTGCTGTTCCGGAAGTTAAGTATGAATAACCAAATCTGTTCGATAACTTATAAGAGATTTAAGTGGATATCCACACGGCCAGGCGTCTTCAATCGGAAGTTTTGGTTTTTCCATTTAGTGTTGGACTCTTCGCTGATGTGCTGCCGAATTTTGCCGTCATGTTGACTACTAAAAATGCCGACACTGGAAAGATTTTTTTACAACTCGAATTACCATTTTAATGATTAGTTTTTGTCCCTTGTAGACTCGTGAAATGAGACAGTTTTCTTGGGCTAAAGTACTTTAAACTTAACACAGGTTTCTTGCTTCCAATATTTTGCATTCAATATTCAAACGATATGGAAGAATATGCTGCCCAGTAACTGGCCTGTATATGATGATATGCTTTTGAAGTTGATTAGCTTGAATCAAAACAGAAACATCAGTGTTCTCCGAAAAATGAGATAAAGTCATCAAATATTCATGTTTTCCTTGAAGAACAATTCAGGAAGGAGACAATGGATACTAAAATTCAACCCGTAACCTCATCACGCCGAATGACTACAGAAAGTACAGTTCCCCTCTGAGGACAAGGTTAACGCTGATTACTACAATTAGAGACCTATGTTAACGAAGTTTTTGGCCCCGAGATTGAGGGAAATATGGCTACCTCATTACCAAATAAAAACCCCAGATCCGGTGATTATTTTAATGGCAAACCCAAAACCCAAACAGAAGTTGTGTTGCTTCAGAATAATATGTTGGGAGTCAACGTTTGGTCCATGATAGTGTTGATCTTCTTGCCTTATTTCGTTTGGCATTGCAAACAAACTAAAGCTTTAAGAAGTCAATGGGCATAATTCCTTTCAAGCCACGGTTCCATAAATAATAACCTATAAGCAGTTTTAGATGGTCTAGAGTACTTGGTTGTTGGTTTGAAGAGTTGTGAAAATATACCAAAAGCCAGATATGAAGACATGGTTTCGTGAAATGCTCGTGCAAACTACGTAATGTTTCAGCAAGTCAAGAACAACAGAATAGGAACTTCAGCTAGGCCCATGGGTGTAGCGAGGGGGAGGGCAAAAGAAAAGAAAAGAGAAACGAAAAGGAAAAAGAAAAACAACAAAGAAGACGAGGAGAAAATCATATTACTGTTAATTGAATGTATATATTTAACGACATGGGAGTCTATTTTTCCACGGCCAGTGATTTCTCCCTTCGCTTCTGGTGAGTGATTTGCCCCCCTCTAGCAAAAAAAATCTGGCGACGCCCACGGTGAGGCACCAAATCTACCGCTGCCTACTGCCTGAACTTCAAAGCCTCAAGATTTCACTTCAGACAATGTCATATCTCGAGAAGAACATGACCTGCAGTGGTCTCACACCACACACGTACATTTTGACGTAAGGCAGGACTCCAAAATGAAAGTGATCCGCGCTTGTCCTGAGCGGGGACACAACCCACGAGTCAAAGCAATTTGTGGTCGGGTAATTTCCAAGGACGATCGGGGACAGACGCGCTCGACAACCCGACGGTTCTGGGCAGGTGCTATACATCGTGGTTTACGCTCAAAATAATTCGTGTTTTGTATTAACCTTTAGAAGAAAAAAACTTTACACCCACTCAAGAATTGTTTCCAACAATGTAGCCTCCACTTTTCATCAACTTTTAGGGAGAAGTAAGTGGTGAAATCGGTCAATGCATTTCGACATCTTTACTTTCATTTTTGTTTTCGTGCAACCTTGAAGTCGTTTTATGACCTCGGCATTTGTGCTTGAGCCTTATCATGGTTTTGGTGATTGTCACAGTGTGTTTGAATTATTTCTTTTCTCTAATCTTTTAGATCATCGATCCAAATGTTAACATCAATTTGTCGGCTTGCATTGCATTCTAATGTCTTAGCAAGCATTTAAATATACCAAAGAGAAAGCTTCCAAATCAACATTTCATCACAATTGTTACACAAAATTTGTTATGAAAATTCAAACCCCAAATTTACTTTCAAATACAGCAGCTGTGGTTTACTGGCTCTTTGTATGGGCGGCACCAAACTTTTTACCGTCGGCACTGCAGTTTACAGACTCCATCAATCAGCAACGCGCGTGCGGTCTGTCAGACCAACCAACCCTCATAAATTACCGGCACGGGCGAGGGGCAGAACCCTGGCGCACGTCGACTATAGGCCACGCGAGGCCCAAGGCACCCCACTAGTGCCCCAACTACCCTGAAGAATATTACCCAAGATCCTGTAAATATTGCGAGGTAAAACTAGTGGAAATTGAGAGTGTAAAGTGCTGAGGCGGCGAAATGTTCGGCATTCCGATAGCATCGGCTGTGAGCGGGTGCTGGCTGCGTGGCTTGTGGGTCTCGCGACCCATGGGCCCTTGGTTGGCCCCTGGCTACATCAGTACCTGCAAAATTTAATTTAATGCCCGCGCTGTCTGAATCTATCAGAATTTTAATTTCTAAAGTTATTGGTTTCGGAATCTTTTTGCGCATGCATATATTGTTATGAAAGAATGCGATAGGTTTTGAAGGAAAAGTGAGTTCAAGTTCAGACACTGTTTCTCTCAAAATGTACCGAGTATGGTTAATACAAACGTTTTTCCTGTTATCAAACATGCATTTAAATCATTACATTTTGATGCCTTGAAGTTCACAATGGTAAAGTTATAGCTTGTGATAAAACCTCAAAGTGCCGGAAAATACAGTGCGATTATAAAAATGAAAACTGGTAGCCACTGGAACTTTACTATAAACATTTCGCTCGGAAGAGATAAATTGTGGTCTTGAAGACGTACGTCTACGCCTCCCCATTCTCCAAGATCATCGTCATAAAAATACCGCCGAACAGTCATGGGATGACGAAAACCATATTTTGATAAACACAACAGTCATCCCCCTTCCCCTACAAACCAAACAAACAAAAGCAGCCGTGGAACCGGCAACCAGAAAAAAAACCAGGACACTAGTAGAAGATAAAGAACACTTGTTTCGTTTTTTCCCGTTGATTGATCATACACCGGGAGTGTCAGCTGGCTTCAGCCTGGCTCGCACCGCGTGGTTTTCTCCCCACGCGCGCTACATTACATCTCTCGTACTTCTGAAACGAGAACCACACATTCACACGCATGGCCAAATATGGTCGAGTCGAAACACTTCCCACTCTCGCTAGAACGGTAGCAGTACAGCCTATACCAAAGCCAGGAATGTAGCTCCTGACTTGTCGAGTTGTCTCCCCACCTGCCATGGAAGATTTGTGTCCCAGTCTGGTAAACATTCATAATTCTATGAGATAAGATCAGTTAAGATCAGTCCTGAGGTTTATCGAGATCATTGCGAGCTGGTAGCTGCGATGCGTGCTTGCAAGCAAAGCTTAAGAATATGATATGCCATGAGGTGGCCTGGTCGTAACATTATCTTGGACTTTGAGATAACCTTCAAAATTTGTTGGGGATGTACTCAAATTTCTCTAGACTTACATCTTGATCTCTTTTATAGTAAGTTCACCCACTGTATTAATTGACTATCTTCATAATCTGCTATTTTTTACTCTAAAATTATCCCTTTGTCTTGTTAGGAACACGTGAACATTGATCTCGGACATTTCTTCTTCTTGTTTCAATAATAACGTATTTAGTTTAATATGAAAAGCACAGCTTCGGTTCTACCGCTCTATTTCCGTCAACACTACAGTTAAAAAAAAACTTACAACAACTTTATACTCGGGACCTGTAGTCCCCTAAAGCCGCA